TTCAGTTATTTTGGACTGAGGTAAAACAACTCCCGGTCTGTTCTTCATGAAGGGCGATGTAGCATCATGTGTCTCCTTTAATCTCTGACGGAGGAGAACAAATGCAGTCCTGACAGAATATCATGTATATGTTTCCTCTGGATGCTTCTTTTGAGTGTGGTTTTGGTGATTGTATCTAATGAGCAGTGCTGGACGGACATCAGTGGGAGGCCAGGGTCTGCCCGGGGCTCAGGGCAGCTGGACTCCAGACAGAACGAGAGGAAAGGAAACGGACAAACACAACAACACTGGATTCTCTTCACACACCCGGGTTTTCACATCTATTTTGTTCTGAACTGGACCATTTTAAAAACACATCTATTCGTCGTACAAGTCTTATCTTAAAAGTGATTTTATAAAACGCCGTGTCAAGGAGATGGAGAGCGGAGCCAGAATAGCAGCAGCAGTTGTAGAAGCAGGAAAATGAATGGGAAAAGCCTGAAAGATGAGACGGTGGAAGTAAGCAGCACTGATAAATGTAAGAATATACTTTCACTGCTTTATGAATCAATCCTGAGGTAGTTTCCGTACGCTGTAGCACCAGTCCTTATTTTTATCTTCCTGTTGGAGGAGTGGATAATCTCTGGAGGAACGCACATTTGGTTTACATCCCTGAGCCTATGTAGCATGTGTTTTGTGCTCAGCGCCCGCAGCATAAACAGCCGCTCTGAATGGGAGACGCTATGCTAACGCTATGCTAATGCTTCTATTCAGATCCACGTTATGTCGTCTTTAACAGAGGCAGCATCTGTCAAGCTGTGTGTTTCATTCCTGTTAAAAAGATGTGTGACTTCTACTTGGACGACACACAATCGATGCAGAAGTCTAGTCGTTAAAGTGTGTTTACTCTTAATGTGGTGTGTCCTCGGTCCTCGTTATAGACTTTAAAACAGCTCTGCTTGTTACAAATCTCTCCATGGCCTTGACCAAAATATATTAGTGACATGTTAGTCCCATATGAACCAGCCCGGACTCTGAGGAGCACAGGGACTGGACTCCTGCTGGGACTCTGAGGAGCACAGGGACTGGACTCCTGCTGGGGACTCTGAGGAGCACAGGGACTGGACTCCTGCTGGGGACTCTGAGGAGCACAGGGACTGGACTCCTGCTGGGGACTCTGAGGAGCACAGGGACTGGACTCCTGCTGGGGACTCTGAGGAGCACAGGGACTGGACTCCTGCTGGGGACTCTGAGGAGCACAGGGACTGGACTCCTGCTGGGGACTCTGAGGAGCACAGGGACTGGACTCCTGCTGGGACTCTGAGGAGCACAGGGACTGGACTCCTGCTGGGACTCTGAGGAGCACAGGGACTGGACTCCTGCTGGGACTCTGAGGAGCACAGGGACTGGACTCCTGCTGGGACTCTGAGGAGCACAGGGACTGGACTCCTGTTAGTGCCCAGAGTCAGAACTAAACATGGGGAGGCTGCTTTTCAGATTCATGCTGCTAAAATCTGGAACAGTCTTCCTGAAGATGTGAGACAGGCCTCCTCTCTGACAATGTTTAAAACCAGGTTAAAGACAGTTCTGTTTAGCTGTGCTACAGCTGAGGGATTTTATATTTTTATCTTTCTTTTTAATGTTCTGTGATTATTTATGATTTTAATGCTTTCTTGTTTTGTTCAGCACTTTGAATTGCCTTGTGTATGAATTGTGCTATATAAATAAACTTGCCTTGCCTCGTTCTACAGCCTGAGTCCTGGATTCATCAGTCCCTCATCTTACACAGCGGCTGAAAACATTGTATAAACGCACAGAGAAACCGTTTGGGAACTTCTGTTTGCTGATTGGCTGCAGCTGCCAAAGTCGAGGAAGTCTCTGCTCTCTGATGGTTTAAAGCAGTAAATCAAGAGAGATGTCCCTGTAGGTGCGACTGGAGGCCACCGGGGGCAGCAGAGCAGATGTTGTACTTCAGACTGTAGTATTGATCCGTGAAGCAGTAAACCTCCAAACATGCTCCTCTGTGAACGTGCAGCAAAAGGGCGGCGAGCGGCTGACGGCGGCGGCGAGGAAACGGAGAGAATAAGAAATATCCCGACAAGGGCTCACACTACGTTTTCTGCAGAAAAACTAACTTGTTTGATTGTTTTTGTTGTTTTTTATAGAAGGTTATATATAACAGCTGCAATATGGGGGAGGTAAACACAGCATTTTTTTAACTGATTTGCGTTGTATTGTTCAGAAATGTGTTTCTATGACCAGAAATAAATGTCTGCCATTATTGCAAAAAGCTCCTCAAGGTCCTCACCAAGAGTTGCAAACTAAAGTGGTGAATACATATACAGTATGTTTAAAATATAAATAAAAAACTCTTATCTTTACGTGTTCATTTCTTGGGATTTTGCATCACATTAAACTCAAACAAAGACACGCTCCACAGAGTCTGAGTCTGGGACTTTAAACTCATTCTACCGCTGTAGAAACGGTCCCCGCCCCGAGCCCTGAGGGACCCCGGCCTCGGACTGAATGGATTTAATTTGTGCTTATGATCCAGGATTGTCAGCATCTCTGCGGGGGAAGGGCCACCACCGAGCACCCGCTACAACATCAAAGCTCTTCAGACACAAATCATAAGTACGTTTAGTCATCAGCGGAGAGAGGGGGGAGGAGAGGGGGGAGGGGAAAGAGGGGAGAGGGAGGGGAGGGGAGGGGAGGGGAGGGGAGGGGAGGAGAGAGGGGAGACGGAGGAGAGGCAGGAGAGAGGAGAGAAATCATAAGTATGTTTAGTCATCAGCGATCAGCGAGAGAGGGGAAAGGGGAAAGAGGAGAGACAGGAGAGGGAGGAGAGAGAGGAGAGGAGAAAAAGGAGAGGAGAGAGAGGAGAGAGAAGAAAGAAGAGAGGGGAGAGAAGAGAGAGAGGAGAAAGAAGATAGAGGAGAGAGAGGAGAAAGAAGAGAGGAGAGAGAGGACAGAGGAGAAAGAAGAGAGAGGAGAGGAGAAAGAAGAGAGAGGAGAAAGAAGAGAGAGGAGAGAGAGAGAGAGAGAAGAAAGAAGGGAGAGGAGAGAGAGGAGAAAGAAGAGAGGAGAGAGGAGAGAGGAGAAAGAAGAGAGAGGAGAGGAGAAAGAAGAGAGAGGAGAGAGAGAAAGAAGAGAGAGGAGAGAGAGGAGAGGGAGGAGAGAGGAGAAAGAAGAGAGAGGAGAGAGAGGAGAGAGGAGAAAGAGAGAGAGAGGAGAGAGAGGAGCGAGGAGAAAGAAGAGAGAGGAGAGAGAGGAGAGAGAGGAGAGAGGAGAAAGAAGAGAGAGGAGAGAGAGAGAAAGAAGAGAGAGAAGAGAGAGGAGAGAGAGAGTAGGGAGGAGAGAGGAGAAAGAAGAGAGGAGGAGAGAGGAGAAAGAAGAGAGAGGAGGAGAGGAGAGGGAAGAGAGGGAGGAGAGAGGAGAGAAATAAAGAGAGAGAGGAGAAAGAGAGAGGAGAGAGGAGAAAAGAAGAGAGGGAGGAGAAAGAAGAGAGAGAGAAGAGAGAGGAGAGGAGAGAGGAGACGAAGAAGAGAGGAGAGAGAGAGAGGAGAGGGAGGAGAGAGGAGAGAAAGAAGAGAGAGAGAGAAGAGAGAGAAGAGAGAGGGAGGAGAGAGGAGAGAGAGAGAGAGAGGAGAGAGAGGAGAGAGAGAGAGGAGAGGAGAAAAAGGAGAGAGAGGAGATGAGAAAGAGGAGAGAGGAGAAAGAGGAGAGAGAGGAGAGAGGAGAGAGAGGAGAGGAGAAAAAGGAGAGGAGAGAGAGAAGAGAGGAGAAAGAGAAGAGGAGAAAGAGTAGAGAGAGGAGATGAGAAAGAAGAGAGAGAGGAGAAAGAGAAGAGAGAGAAGAGGGGAGAGAGAGGAGAGGGGAGAGAGAGAGGAGAGGGGAGGGGGGGAGTGCGAGAGGGGAGAAAATAGAGGGGAGAGTTGACAAAAAGAGAGGACAGAAGAGAGTGAGGGGAAGGGAACAGTGCCTCCTTGTGGACACGTGCTCTGAAAGCAGCAGGAGAACATGCAAACACAGAGACAAATCTGTTTCATTATGAACTCCATTCTCTCAGAACAGAAGGATCTCACAAAGACTGTTTCTTTGAGTTGGTAAAAACACAGAATATTTATCAACAGATTAAGCGATATCGGTCAAAGAAACACAATATCACTCACTCTCTCAGCCAATCAGCTCTCAGTATGTATTTTAGCACTCACTCTCTCAGCCAATCAGCTCTCAGTATGTATTTTAGCACTCACTCTCTCAGCCAATTAGTTTTCTAAAAATATGAAGACTTTTTTTCTATTAGTACAAATGAATGTATTTACAAAACAAAGGGAAAAAAAGTTAGGTAGCCCAGCTTTAATGTATCTGGCCACAGCGGCGGCCATTAACCAGAACCGGACGCAATAACCAACGGGAACCATCTTTACCATCGAAACGTTTTGCTGAGGTTACCGTGACAACCAGAGTCAGAAATTTTAGTCTGTGAGGATGGAGCTCCACTCTCTTCTCTCACCTCCCCCTTTCCCCTCTCTCCCACTCCTCCTCTCTCCCCTCTTCTCTCCTATCAGTCAAAATCATACCGGTTCAAAAGCGACCATTAACACCAGCCCGAGTGTGTTTGTGCTTACAAGAGGGGAGACAGAGGGAGACAGGGGGAGACAGGGGGAGACAGAGGGAGACAGAGGGAGACAGGGGGAGACAGGGGGAGACAGAGGGAGACAGAGGGAGACAGAGGGAGACAGGGGGAGACAGGGGGAGACAGAGGGAGACAGAGGGAGACAGAGGGAGACAGGGGGAGACAGGGGGAGACAGGGGGAGACAGGGGGAGACAGGGGGAGACAGAGGGAGACAAGGGGAGACAGAGGGAGACAGGGGGAGACAGGGGGAGACAGGGGGGGGACAGAGGGAGACAGGGGGAGACAGAGGAAGACAGAGGGGAGACGGGGAGACAGAGGGGAGACAGAGGGAGACAGAGGGAGACACGGGAGACAGGCAGACGGTGGAGAAGTGTTTCTTACAGGCCTGTCGCAGTTTCTCTTTGTCGTAGTGCAGCGCCTCATAGTCCGACATTCCCACTCGACTCACCCGGATCCTCAGCCTCTCTGGGAGCGACTGCTGACTGCAACACACACAACACATTAACAACACAACACACACACAGACACAGACACACACAGGGGTACACACTCGTTGAGGTGCAGGGCTGAGGTCCTCTTCTTGGTCTTCTGCAGCATGTTGGCCTGGTTCCTCAGACTGATGTGGATCACAGACGGACTCAGTCTACACGGCTCTCCGTCCACCTGGACCCAGAGACACACACAACATTCAGAGAAACACACAACATTCAGCCTACACGGCTCTCCGTCCACCTGGACCCAGAGACACACACAACATTCAGAGAAACACATAACATTCAGTCTACACGGCTCTCCGTCCACCTGGACCCAGAGACACACACAACATTCAGAGAAACACACAACATTCAGTCTACACGGCTCTCCGTCCACCTGGACCCAGAGACACACACAACATTCAGAGAAACACACAACATTCAGTCTACACGGCTCTCCGTCCACCTGGACCCAGAGACACACACAACATTCAGAGAAACACACAACATTCAGTCTACACGGCTCTCCGTCCACCTGGACCCAGAGACACACACAACATTCAGAGAAACACACAACATTCAGCCTACACGGCTCTCCGTCCACCTGGACCCAGAGACACACACAACATTCAGAGAAACACACAACATTCAGCCTACACGGCTCTCCGTCCACCTGGACCCAGAGAAACACACAACATTCAGCCTACACGGCTCTCCGTCCACCTGGACCCAGAGACACACACAACATTCAGAGAAACACACAACATTCAGCCTACACGGCTCTCCGTCCACCTGGACCCAGAGACACACACAACATTCAGAGAAACACACAACATTCAGTCTACACGGCTCTCCGTCCACCTGGACCCAGAGACACACACAACATTCAGAGAAACACACAACATTCAGCCTACACGGCTCTCCGTCCACCTGGACCCAGAGACACACACAACATTCAGCACCAACGAACCTTTTTATCATTGTAAAACCTGTGTATGACAGAGTCTAGAGCAGAGGGCGGGGACATACTGACAGAGAACCCGGCTCCTGCCTATCTCAGACGAGATCATTACACCAGAATGTCAAACTCAGGCCCGAGAGCCAAATCCGACCCAAAGACGTGGTTATAGCGGCCTCTGAAATGATTATCAATGTAAAGCCTAGTGTATAGCGGCGCGGCGCGGAGCTTACGGTGGTGACGTGACGTCACTTGCACAACGCGTGGATCACCGCAAGGCCCTTTCTATAGCCTGCCGCGCACCCTCGAAAATGTCTAATTACTAGCCGGCGCCGCAAGGAAGCTCCGCTGTGATTGGTCCGTGTGTGAATACTTTCTGTGAAGCATGAAGCGGCTGCAGGAACATGGACGAAGCACTTCGGAGCAGACTGCTTCATGCTTCGAAGGAACCGAAGGAAAAGCAGTTTGGGACTGTGACTGTGGACTAGAGTTCTGTTGCATATCTAACATATATCTAACACATATATAACTTATATCTAACATATAACTTATAAACTGTTACTGTCTTGTTTGAATCGTAGCTGTGTCTGTTGCGTTCCTCCTGCACTCGTAAATAGTTCATGTTTGTCTCAGATATTTATCACTTCTTGTTTTGCTGTTTGTGCTGAATACACTTTAATAATAACTATGTTTCCAACAGAACTGTCTTTATTCACAGCATCACAGTTAAATGAGTTGAAACAATGAGTTTAGAACGGTCACATAAACCTACAGTAGAAACACATGTAATGATCTCAAACAGCTTCACTTTGTTTTTGTTCTGAAGAGGAGAAAGAAGCAGCGTAAATGGGACCGCTTTGGTTTCTCAGGCAACTCCTGTGAGATCGCCATCATGTGGTTGGGTGTGGGATTACAACATTCTCTTCAAAACTCCGTAAGAGAAACACGCAAGTGTACCACCAACTGTAGCTGCGTAGGTCCAACGTAACCGCAAACGTAAGCAGCGCCGCGAGCGTGTACACAGGCCTTTACATTAACTTCTAACGTAATGTCATGTGTGTGCGTGTTTAGTCTAGTGTGTGTGTGTGTTTAGTCTAGTGTGTGTGTGTGTTTAGTCTAGTGTGTGTGTTCAATTCAATTATTTTATTTACAAAACTTATAGTCATACAAGTTATACAAATTTATAGTGTGGAGTTGGTGTTTTGTAAAAGGGAACTCCCAGGAAGCTGCATCGCTTATAGAGGGGGCAGAGTGTGTGTGTTTGGTAGAGTGTGTGTGTGTTTAGTCCAGTGTGTGTTGCTCTGAAAAATAATATTCCTTTCCGAGTTTGAGATCTGCAGAAGAGGATTTCTGTTTTCTGCAGCTGTTGGCTTTGCCCAAACACAACACTATGAAAATGAATCCACAATAAAGGATGCACACGGCACACACAGACACACACTCACACACAGACACACACTCACACACAGACACACACTCACACACACACACACACACACACAGACACACACACACACACTCACTAGACTAAACACACAGACACACAAACACACACACACACACACACACACAGCTGTATCCAGGAGCTTAGGTTGATCTGACAGAGGAACACACAGACCTTTGCTTCTTTGGAGGCAGAGAGTTTGTGCAAAGAGAGTTTTAGGAACATTTCTTCCTCTGACGAAGAGGTTTTGGGTTCAACATTTAAAGTAAAAACACATCATATTTATGGCACGGTGCAGCCCTACCATGACACACCAAATATTAACGGCTTATTAAACGAGCACGAGGTCCCGACAGAGAAATATCAGACCGCTGCCTTTTTGTACAGACCGAGCAAGCGAGGTTAATACATGTTTTATTATATGACTATTTTTAATGTTTGCAAATATCGATCGATAGTAAAAACACATGCAGCCAAACTGTCAAATGGTGACATGAAGAACTTCTCAGATGATTGAGGCGCCCGCTGTAAGTTCTCGGTCTGTGTCTTTACCAATACTTTTTAGATATTTGTGATGTTCATGTCCCACTTGGTTTTCCTGGTGTTTTTACCTTTCTGGTCTGTAACCAAGTTGTCGATCTCTTCTTGACTGTTGGAGTTGTGTTTTCGTCGTTATTTGCTGTTATTACTTCCTCTGGCTCTTCCAACTCGTCCTGATGATAGAATTCACTGAGAATGCTCCCAGTCGTCGCTCATTTCTTTTTTTACGGAGGAAAGATATCAAATCTGATACGCGCTGTGGACCGATTGTCATGGTAACGGTCCGAGATGGGAAAATATCAGACCGCAAATCAGCCAATCAGAGCGCGCGTATGATCCAAGTCATATAATATTAACTAATATTAACATTGACACCAAGTGGGAGTGAAGTGAAGTGGTAGCACATACACCACACACACATTTTGAGCCTCCTCGAAGTGAAGATCTGGACATTTATGAACATTTGTAGACACTGGTCGTCCCGCTCCCAATGAACCAATGGCTCCCGAGTGTTATCAGTGCATTTCCTGTGTTCAAACTGTTTGATTCTCCAATCTGTCGCTGAGGAATTGACAACGTTGTAAAGTCCTCAGAGACGACTGTTGTGGTTTAGGGCTAAACACAAATAATCTGAATCATGTTTTGGCTGATTTTGAATTGGTTTTTATAAAGAGAACTGTTGCTTACCATTGGAGTAATTATTCTGACTTGTTACTGTTATTCTAAGGCTGGATATTAAAAAACCAAAATGCTAAAAAGCCTAAAAGGTTCTGCAAACATTGACAGGGCTCAAAAAGTGAGAGAACCTTCTGTAAAGTCTGCTTCAAAGGGTTCTGCTTTCTTTGGTGCACAGGACTGGACCTTTTTCATCTTTGGGGATTCTTAACAACGCAACGGGCGCCGAACACATGATGAGAAAGTCTAACATGGAGTGACCCGCAGCAGAGTAGCACCGAGTAAACATCACACAACTCCAACAACTTCAAATGTACAAACACGAAAATAAGATTCAAACTTGTGATGAAATATTAAAGTTTGCCTGATGTTGTTTTCAGCTGCTGTGGAGGAGGATTGCTTTGGAGCTGACGGATCTGCTCTGGACCAAGGAAAGACTAACACTGAGTTTTATCGAACTGTGTGGGACGTGGAAGTGATTGTGTACTTCATGAAAACACATTCATACAATCATGTGCCTTTAAAAGATTATGGGAGGACTTTATATAAGTGGTCAAATATACTCATGTATCTCTAACTAGAGAGAGAGACCAGAGAGAGAGACCAGAGAGAGAGACCAGAGAGAGAGACGAGAGAGAGAGAGAGAGAGAGAGAGAGGCCAGAGAGAGAGAGCGAGAGACCAGAGAGAGGCCAGAGAGAGAGAAAGAGAGACCAGAGAGAGGCCAGAGAGAGAGAAAGAGAGACCAGAGAGAGGCCAGAGAGAGAGAGCGAGAGACCAGAGAGAGGCCAGAGAGAGAGACCAGAGAGAGAGACGAGAGAGAGAGAGAGAGAGAGAGGCCAGAGAGAGAGAGCGAGAGACCAGAGAGAGGCCAGAGAGAGAGAAAGAGAGACCAGAGAGAGGCCAGAGAGAGAGAGCGAGAGACCAGAGAGAGGCCAGAGAGAGAGGCCAGAGAGAGAGAGCGAGAGACCAGAGAGAGGCCAGAGAGAGACCGGAGAGCGAGAGAGACCAGAAAGAGAGACCAGAGAGAGGCCAGAGAGAGAGACCAGACCAGAGAGAGACTAGAGAGAGAGACCAGAGAGAGAGAGAGAGAGACCAGAGAGAGGCCAGAGAGAGACCGGAGAGCGAGAGAGACCAGAAAGAGAGACCAGAGAGAGGCCAGAGAGAGAGACCAGACCAGAGAGAGACTAGAGAGAGAGACCAGAGAGAGAGAGAGAGAGAGAGAGGCCAGAGAGAGGCAAGAGAGAAACCAGAGAGAGAGGCCAGAGAGAGAAACCAGAGAGAGACCAGAGAGAGAGAGAGAGAAGCCAGAGAGAGAGACCAGACGAGAGAGAGAGACCAGAGAGAGAGAGAGTCCAGAGAGAGAGAGAGGCCAGAGAGAGACCAGAGAGAGAAACCAGAGAGAGAGAGAGAGGCCAGAGAGAGACCAGAGAGAATGACCAGACCAGAAAGAGAGACCAGAGAGAGATCAGAGAGAGAGAGAGAGAGAGACTAGAGAGAGACCAGAGAGAGACTAGAGAGAGATCAGAGAGGGATCAGAGAGAGACCAGAGAGAGAGAGAGAGAGAGAGACCAGAGAGAGACCAGAGAGAGACCAGAGAGGGACCAGAGAGGGACCAGAGAGAGACCAGAGAGAGAGACCAGAGAGAGACCAGAGAGGGACCAGATAGAGACCAGAGAGAGACCAGAGAGAGACCAGAGAGAGAGACCAGAGAGAGACCAGATAGAGACCAGATAGAGACCAGAGAGAGAGACCAGAGAGAGACCAGAGAGAGAGACCAGAGAGAGACCAGAGAGAGAGACCAGAGAGAGACCAGAGAGAGACCAGAGAGACTGAAGCGACCATATCCTTAAAGTCTGCACTCAGAGCTCGGGACGAGCAAACCAAGCTATATTTTGATTGAATTATAACTGATTTTCTGAGTTTATAAAATACATGTTGTTAAATATTGAGCAGGTGTAAACATTCTTCCTCTCATTTGCATTCTCTGTTGTGCAGTGATTCAGGTTCGACTCATCCTGTGCAGCTCTACATAAGCCTCGCAGTAATCCACCAAAGAGCAGAAAGGTTGTGTAGCTTTTCTGCAAAAAATAAAAAACAAAACGGTGAATTCTAATCCGCTGCCTGCACTAATGAGTGGGTCCTGTCGGTAATGATGCTTAATGTAGAGCGTGTGTGGTTATGAGAACTGTGTGTGTGAGGACATGGTCAGAGTGTGACATCACCGTAGGGTCATAAAAAACAGCTGAAGCCAATATGAATAAATTGGTCTAAATCAAACCATTTTTGACTTTTCCAGTCAATTTTACAGCAGTGCGGTCTTCACAAGAGAGAGAGAGACCAGAGAGAGAGACCAGAGAGAGAGACCAGAGAGAGAGACCAGAGAGAGAGACCAGAAAGAGAGACCAGAGAAAGACCAGAGAGAGAGACCAGAGAGAGAGACCAGAGAGAGACCAGAAAGAGAGACCAGAGAGAGACCAGGAAGAGAGACCAGAGAGAGAGAGAGAGACCAGAGAGAGAGACCAGAAAGAGAGACCAGAGAAAGACCAGAGAGAGACCAGAAAGAGAGACCAGAGAGAGGGACCAGAGAGAGAGACCAGAGAGAGACCAGAAAGAGAGACCAGAAAGAGACCAGAAAGAGAGCCCAAAGAGAGACCAAAGAGAGAGAGGCCAGAAAGAGACCAGAGAGAGACCAGAGAGAGACGAGAGTGAGAGACCAGAGAGATCAGAGAGAGACCAGAGAGAGACCAGAGAGAGACCAGAGAGAGACCAGAGAGAGACCAGAGAGAGAGACCAGAGAGAGAGACCAGAGAGACCAGAGAGAGACCAGAAAGAGAGACCAGAGAGAGACCAGAGAGAGAGACCAGAGAGGGTTTGAGGTGCATAGTACCTGGACGGGCAGAGCCTTGGTGGTGGTCAGTGTGACCTGTTGACACTGGTGCAGCCTCTCCCCGTGACCCCCTACCTGCAGCGCGGCCTGTGACACACACACACAGACAGACACACAGACAGACAGACAGACAGACAGACAGACAGACAGACAGACAGACACACACACAGACACACAGACAGACAGACACACACACACAGACACACAGACAGACAGACACACACACACACAGACACACAGACAGACAGACACACACACAGACACACAGACACACACACACAGACATACACACACAGACACACACACACAAACAGACACACACACAGATACACAGACACACACAGACACACACAGACACACACAGACATACACACACAGACACACACAGACACACACTGGTGAGTTGTGTGTCCCACTTTGGCGGTGGGGCAGGAGTGATGGATGTGTGGCTGATTACCACAGACCTGCCTCGGGGTTTTCCTCCTGCTCCTAACGACTCTTTCTGGGTCACGATGAGGAAGGAGGCGACGCCACATCCTCTCGGAGACTCAACAACTTTCTAAAGATTATTTTTCTTACATTTTAGCTTCAAAACTTCTCACTTCTCGTCTACATAAAAACAATATATTTTTGCGTGTCCCGTTTTAATTACTATACATTTGCCAAATTCAAGCATTTTTTAAACTTGGTGTCAAATGAACCAACTCGGACTCTGAGGCGCCTCCTGCTGGGCCCAGAGTCAGGACTAAACACAGGGAGGCAGCGTTTCAGATTCATGCAGCTAAAATGTCTTCTTGAAAATGTGAGACAGGACTCTACTTTGAAAATGTCCAGGTTAAAACAGTTATTTTATCTGTGCACACAAGGACTGTATTTTCACTCTTTTGAATGTACTAGAAATGATGTCTGTATCTTGTTTAGTGACGCACTGTGACTTGCCTTGTGTCTGAACTGTGCTACACAATTAAACTTGACACATGTGTACATAAGCTACTCACCAGTGACGTCATGGTGAATCCGATCACTTCTATGAATCCGTCGTCGTGTCGTTGGGGCTCGAAGTCGTGATGTTCTCCAGGGTTCCCCCACGGAGTCGTCCCGGCGCAGTATCTACAGAGCAGAGAGACACACTGTATTACTGACAGTCTGGTGTATTCACAACCACTGCCCTTTGTGAGAGCAACGAATGTCTTGCTCCGAGAAGAAAAAAGTGTGTGTGTTTTTGTGTGTCTCATTCTCTTTGGTAAGGTTTGTATGTACTGCGCCGTTTCATAATTGTATTCTGTGTATTACTGTGTGTTGAGTGGATGTGGAAGGGGTTGGGATAAAATAAGTGTCTGCTTCGTCCAGCCCCTTTTCAAACCTGAAAATGATTTTGATGAATTGATGGGACTTGTCACAGCCCCCTGCAATGGGCTGGAGGAGGTGTGTGTGAAGAAGGAAGTCCAAACCATGGATCTATTATAATAACTGGATAGAGTATTATAGCTTGGAGCTGAAGAACTCATGTGCCCGGGGGATTCTCGCGATACTGCAGACTAGACCAGACTAAATTCACGTGGGCTACCCAGAAAAAAGTCCCATAGAACTCTATGTAAATTAAAGCAGCTCGACCTCAGATGACAGAGAACCTGACAGAGAACCTACAGCTTTCATAAAGGTCAGATTTTGTGGGGATTTTAGTGTCCCTTGTCATCCTGAACTTTTTTTCTTCTTAAATCCTTCGGTTTTCTTTAAATCCACACTTTAGTGCCACAAACTCTGCTCCTCTGGCTCTCGCTCTAACTCCCGCTCTGATGAACTGCTCTGATTGGTCAGAGCGCGGCCGAGCCCCTCTGTGCACGTGCGTGAGACCCGGTGTGAGACCCACACACGCGTGTTTGACGCAATGCATTATGGGAGATCATCCACTGCACAGAACCGGGAGGACCAGACGATGCCCAAATACAGACAAGTTTCCCATAGATCTTCCAGGCGACTTCCGCTAATCTTTCAGCCCCCGTGCCGGCACAAAGCGCCACTGAGCACAACCATTCATTTGAATACGGCGCCATCTTGGATCGCCGGGGCTTGGTCCACACACCCTGTCTCTGCTTAGGCTGCTGCCCCCGCGACCCAGCAACGGATAAAGCGGAAGAAAATGGATGGATGGATACATGTTAAATCCCTGATTAGGATTCAAAAAACTTTAGGTTGGGAAGTCCTTAAGTCTTGCTTCTGTCGTGCTAAAGTTGTAGATTTTAGACGTATTTCCTGACTGTGTGAAAGAGATTTGATATTGTATTTGTATGCTAGTGTTAGAGGTTTCATTTAAACAGATTTTTATAGTATAGAGTTGTATGCAGTCGACTCGGAGGGCTTTAAAGAATCACAGTGTCCAAACACAGAGAATGAGATGATAACAAACGAGCAGAGAAATGCTAATAAAAGTGCAGTGGATCAGTAGAAAAAGGTGGAAAACAAGAGGATGTCATTTCCTGCAGCCTCTGTCTCGGCCACACTTCCTGCTTCTACCTGAGCTCAAGGACACAAAGAAACCAAAAAGCTTCAGAGTGTGTCATTGTCTGCGTCGCTTCTGAGCCGAATCTTTAACTCTTAACAACACAGTTCTGTCAATTAACGGCAAAAAACTTCAGCGGGAACAGAGCTGCGGGGGAAGGGCGGCTTTCGGAGGATTTTTGTTCTTTTTGTTGTTGGTGGAAATGGTTTGAAAGAAGTTTGAAAAGATCTTTGTGTGAGATGTGAGAGAGTGAAAAATGCCATGGCTCAGAGTTTTAAAACGACTTCTTTTCAAAACAAGTGAATGTATTTTCTGCAAACTGCTCATTAAAATAATCAAACACAGAAGAGGTGATCGTGTTTGTAAAAGACGTACAGGAGCTGCACTGGGAGAAAGCAAAACAATTATTTTAAGTTTACCACACTTTATTCAGATTTTTGGTACAGACTTGGATTTCTCGTGATGTTTAGGAGAAACTAAAGTTAAAGTTCATCCAAAAGACCGGCTGGAAAGACTGAACGAGTCGATGTGCGGCCACTGCGGCGCACATCGGCTGAAAATAACAGAGCAAAATGACGTCAAAAACATGTGATGGAGGCCGCCAATGTATGTATTTATATTTTAGAACTGTATATTTTTGTATGCATGACTTTATATGTATTTTTCACTTTTATATTACTTACCAAAGCAAACTCATGAACATAGACTGTATATATTAACAGATGTAGTCACGCCTATCTCACGCCTATCTGATTCAAAATGGCCGCAGGGGCTGGAAAATGTGAAAAAACACATCTGTGCATGCGTCAGCTGCACGAGCTTCATTCATTTAAACGAGAGACTTCTAAAGTCCACAGCGACTAAACTAGACTGGTCCAGAACACTCAGCATTGACACACATGTGGAACGGAGCTTTGGGCCAAGAGACACTTTTGGACCATCCTGTAAAGACGTTTTCCAGAGGTAAGAAGATGCTATATGTTAGCATTGGCTAATTCTTATTCTGGGTCCACCCCCACAGGCCCGGGGTGGTATTGCAGCATGTCAGCGCACGTCATTTTGGCCACTTTTGAGCCGGGACCCGCCCCCACTGCTGATGTCCCTGTGGTTGCACTATGTATGACATTGGATTCACTGGATATAATTGAGCACATTTGGACTTGTTTCATAAAGATACAAGAAATGTCTCTCCCTTGGAATGAGTTAAAAACTAAATAGCTTTGGCAAATCTTGTTTTAAGACAGTCAGAATGTACTCTAATTAAAATAATAGCCACTTGATTTAAGCATTTAACACCTCATACTTGGCAAAATGTCTCTGATAAAGGGTAACACACTTAAGACATGGACTTATTTAGCAGCTCTTGAATCCAGGCTTTTTCAGACATGGACCAAACCACAAACCTGGGGATGTTGAGGAAGACCAGACACTGCAGCTTCAGCTCCTGCACTTTGGCCGTCAGATCGGTTCCATCGCACTAAGACAGCAGAGAGAGACCGTTTTTGAGTCTAGACCACGGCTACACAACTGGACCCGAGGCCACTCACCACCACTTGGATGTGCTTGGAGAGGTCCTTGGAGCTGCCCATCAGGAAGTCAGAGAAAGCAGTCTGCGGAAGAGGAATGAAGGGGACTTAATACTGTGGGAGGCACGAGAAAGAGCGAGGGGGAGACGATGGAGCCGCTCTCTGAAAGTGGAAACATGATTGGCACAACAAAGAGCTGTGAGAGAACGACAAACAGAAGTGGTGTTAGAAGCCGAGGCTGTTGCAAGCGTTGCCGATCCAAGAATCCTGCAGTCATTCTCTGAACTAGTTGAGACCGTGAGCTTAAAGAAGAAATATGATGCGTTATTTTGGGCCAATACATATCATAATGAGACTATTTACTTTGTCCTTTCATGTTTTAGAATGTTAAATATTATCTTGAGTAGAAAATATGTGGCAAAACAATAATGAAGGGAAATATAAGCTTTCTATCTGTAACTCCCTGTTCGACCACCAGAGGGAGAAGAAGAATGTCCAGTTGCAGCTAAAACTAATTTACAGGCAACGCTTTTGGTTTAAAAGGTGAAAAACTGCTCTAAGTGTGATGTCATAGTGGTACAATGACATCATACTATTACAGGACTGCCAGACGTTAGCGTGGATGGATCTAAAAACAACTCCAGGTCTGTGACTCATGAGGAAAGATTTTGTAAGTCAAATTATGAATGGCCTCGTGGGGGGACACTGAGGAGCACAGGGACAGGCCTCCTGCTGGGACTCTGAGGAGCACAGGGACAGGCCTCCTGCTGGGACTCTGAGGAGCACAGGGACTGGCCTCCTGCTGGGACTCTGAGGAGCACAGGGACTGGCCTCCTGCTGGGACTCTGAGGAGCACAGGGACTGGCCTCCTGCTGGTCCCAGACTCAGGACTAAACATGAGAAGGCAGCATTATAGATTTATGCTAAACACTGGAACAGTCTTCCTGAGAATGTGAGCCAGACTTCTTCCCTGAGAATGTCCAGGTTAAAAACAGTTGGATTGAATGTTTAGTCTTTTTCAGACACTGTGGATATTTAGGATTGTAATGCCCTGTGTGCTTTTAGTAAGTAAGTAAGTTTTTTATCACTTCTTCCTTGTTTTGTGGAGCACTTGGAGGTGCCCTGTGTATGAACTGTGCTACATAAATAACCTTTAATCAAACATTTTAACATTTATTTTTGAACACAACATTGACAGTTGCATAAAGCCTCATTCTTAGTTTCCGGAACACGGGAAGAGCTCCCATTCCGACATTAGCAGCATTCTGCATTGTACTTATTACAACCCCATTTAGAGCATTGTTTTAGTTGGGGGTGACGGGGGAGAGAGGGGGGAGTGAGGGAGGGGGGGGGGGGGTAAGTAGGTCCTGCAATTAAAATATTATAAAATGGGAGGCCCTGCTGTGCGAGCCAGATTAGGTTATTAGCCGAGTTGAAGCTTGACACATAATTTGAACCAACAAACTTCCAGAACCTGCTGTATCTGTGCATAATAACAAAACAAAAGTCATAATAATAATAATCATAATAATAACAATAATAATGACGTGGTTAAAGACGCCCCACTCACCCCGGCGTAAAACATCTTGTTCTTGAAGCGGCTGTTGAATTTCTCGGGGTTTGCTTCTGAAAAGGTGAAAAAGGTTCAATCGTCTCAATATTGTATGTATTTGTGTGTTTCCCTAAATCACAACAGCGGTCGCCTCGGAGGATTCACACGGTTAATAAATGTTAATGAATGTCCCGAATCATCCCTGTCCTTAGACCCTCCTGCATCGTCATAGCCTGGTCGTACCACACCATAGTACAAATGACATTTCATACTGAGGTCTGGATTTGCTCCATTGACTTCGTGAACAGGTGGAAGGGGTTAACTACTTTTGCAGATTGAAACGATTGGATCTGAGTTTACCGTGACGTATGTAATGAGCCCGAGTCTGTTGTTAGCATTTAGCATTTATCCTAGCTTTAGCCATCTCCTTTGCTGCTAACGGAGCCCATGGGGAGTAGCGCCACAATTTTTTCCAGCGATTACATTTGCTAAACCCTTGCTCCAGGTCCAATTTAATGATAGAACCAGACCGGATTACTTTACTATCGCATTTTTCGCCAAACTACAACCTTCCCGTTCGACGCAAACTCTTGACATCACCCACATCTAACTACAACACCCGCCTCCCGCGCTCTCTGATTGGTCGGTCGAAGTTCAACAGATTGTAATCACTAACACAGGGACCAGACCCAGACGTTACATGCAGTGAAGGCCAGGCTAGCATCATCAAGGATCCACTCAAAAACTTAATAAAGTGGTAAAAAAGGGCTCCCACGGATGGACAGGATGTAGAACCAGGAGTAACTCATGTTTTAACGACGAACCCACACAATAATTTAAATATGACATTATGAACGAGAGATCAGTGTGTGTTGCCAACCGATCTTTTCATTTATTATAATTGGAAACATTTTTGTGTAGATTTTTTTTTTAAATAAGTGAGTAATGTGTGTTTATTTGCCACATTTTACAGACCAAGATCACCCAAAGCGCTTTACAATGTTCAAAAAAATCAGATATTTTTCCATTCTCTCCACACGGTGATGACAGAGGCCAAACACACTGGTCCATCAAAGCCTCCGACCAAACACCCTCCATTCACTCACTCCACCCGGAGGAAACCAAGCAAGTTTTCTCTCAAAGTATCATCAGTTACAAGTTGCCTTTACCATAGTTTGTGTTGGACTCACCTCTGGACTCGTGGAACTCCAGCGTGACGTGGGCATCGAACCCAAGGCTGAAGTAGTTGTTGAAGACGTCCAACGGAAGCTTTTTTAGTGAGAAAAGAAAAAACATTGCGATTGAACAGACTGAATCAAATACATAATGTGGACGCATGAATATACGTCTGCTTTAGTTTAGTCTAAGTATTATTACATTTGGTCAGATCCTTTGAGAGTTCATGGTAAACATTATGTGAGGTGCGCCCCTACTGGTCAAATGCCGTCATGACAGTCAGACCTGCCTGTGGTGTGACTCTTGGTTAATAATGTAATCCACCTGCTGGGGTTTAGCTTGAAACTCCAGCAGGTGGATTCATATAAAAACAAGTGTGTGGTGCCATTATTTTTGTGCATTTTGAATTAATAAAAAAATCATAACAAAAAAGATAAAGATTGGATTTAATTAAGATTGGCTGAGAGCTGATTGGCTGAAAGCTGATTGGCTGAGAGCTGATTGGCTGAAAGCTGATTGGCAGAGAGCTGATTGGCTGAGAGCTGATTGGCTGAGAGCTGGTTGGCAGAGAGCTGATTGGCTGAAAGCTGATTGGCAGAGAGCTGATTGGCTGAGAGCTGATTGGCTGAGAGCTGGTTGTAAAGTTAGGTACCCCAGCTTTAATCGTCCATGTTTACACCCAGGAAATTAAAAATATAACAAAAGCAGAGAACATCGAGGTACTGCTTCTCCGCCGAACAACTGCAGACTCGAGGTATTTATAGAAGGCACCACTTTTTACGCTTTGATCTTTTTATGCTGAAGTGAAAGAAATGTTTGTTACCGTGACAACGACCGCTGCAATGGACTTTCCGTAGGCCACAGAACGTATGTAATAAGCTACAGCTGCAGTACATGTCAAAGTTCAATTCAATTCCATTATTTGTATATAGTCCTAAACCACAACTGCAGGCCTTTACAAAGTTGTCAATTCTCCAACAACAGATCAGAGAATCAAAGGGTTAAGACACAGGAGAGTCAGTGATAACAAACACATATGAGCCATTGGTCCATAGAGAGCTGGATGTCCAATGTCCATAAAATTTTTTTTCTTTTCTTTCTTTTTTTTAACAACACAAGCTGGCCGTTGTTTGCTGTCCCTTACCGTGAAGAGCTCGGTAAACATCCAAATATCCAAACAGGATCCGTGAGCAGTCAAAACGGAGACATGCAGAGAACTGAGGACTTCCGGTAAGCAGTACTGCAGGGCTGCTCTGTGCACCTTTTTAGTAAACTTTTAACAACTTTTTAGCGCGTTTTATTGTTCAGTTTTTTAATATATCTGAGTGTTTTATGTTATTAATTCAGTGGTTTCAGCAAATAGCGCTTAGTCCCGACTGAAACCCACTAGTAGCACAGAGGCTAACACAAGCTAACGAGGACATGGAAAGTGACAATGAAATTGGCTCAAACATGCACAATATTAGTCGCCTCACCTTGGAGCTCCGTGAGAGCGACCGTGCCACCATTGCAGATCTACGAAAAGAAGTCCTTCGTCTCACCGCAGAGTTGAATGAGAAACAATCTCTAGTGTCCAAACTTTTTGAAGTCGCTGGTGGGCAGCATTCACGGCTTTATGTCACTGAGTGCTGCATATTGTGACACTGTCGTGTGGGAGAGATCCGTCAGCTCCGGACCCTCCTGTTCTACACCTAAGCGCCCGGTTCCGAACAACGAGCCCGCGGATTCCGAGGAGCCATCCTGCGCCGTGGCCCATGTCCTTAGTCTGGCAAACCGCTATGCAGCCCTCTCCACTGACATCCCGGCCCCCTCAGCAGAATCCCTGGACACTGCAGCGTACTCTACTGCTCGAGGATCCAAGTCCACTGCGAGGAAAACGCTCCTAAAGGAAGCAGTCCTCAGGCGAAAGAGCGGTCCACCAGCCATGTTGGCCTGTTCCCCTTCTTTGACCCCAGTGCAGCAGCCTCAGACTGGGGTAGCGAGCCATCATTACCACCGCTCACCTCCACCGGGTCAGCAGCAGCGCCCAGAGCCAGCCCCTCTCACCGCTCCAGCGTCCCCGAGCACACAGCGTGGGTCGCCTGTAGCTGAGAGTCAGCACCCCCGCTCCTCCTCTCCATGTGTTCAGCGGCGCTCAGGCTCGGGTCCTGCTTCGGGTGAACCCGCTGGTTCCGTCCACCGAGCTCCTTCTCCGAGGCCGCGTCCACGTCCACTCTTCGCCCCGACCACTCTGATTATTGGAGATTCCATCGTGAGACACGTCCGCTTCTTCAACGCGGTCACTCGCTGTATTCCCGGAGCTACTGTACCAGACCTGCTCATCCGTCTCCCTCCTCTGCTTCAGTCCCTGCCTGATACCGTTTCCAAGGTAGTCGTGCATGTGGGAATTAACGACATGAAACTTCAGCAGTCAGAAGTCACTAAGAAACATTTTATGGATCTGTTCCACCTCCTTCAATCCTCCGGACTATCTGTTTTTATCTCTGGTCCAATCCCGACTGTAAACAGAGGTGACTGCCTCTACAGTCGTGTTGTGGCGCTGCATATGTGGATCCAGGCTACATGCAGCTCTTTTAACTTTGTCTTTGTGAATAACTTTGCCCTTTTCTGGAAACGTAACGAAGCCTATCGTCCAGACGGATTACACCCAAACAGATACGGTAGCAGCCTGTTGATGGGCTACATGCGTTACGTTGTTCAGCGTTCCCCGAGGGGGGCGTGACTGTTTACATCTGAGCCCCCTCGGACCCCACCGCACTCCCCCGCCTCCTGCTCACCAGCACCGGGTGAGTACAACGGTGCAAACACTGCTCCCTGTCCGTCTGGCAGTGCATTACCAGTCCAAACACTGAACTGTGCTGACTCCCTTCTGACTCTGGGAGCTAAAGAACAACAAGGGTTTTCACATTTTAGTCCAATTGAGACTGTGTGTGTTCCTCGCACCAGCTCAAAAATGTTTTTAAATTCTAAAAAACGAAATCAAAACAGGACAGCAGTTAGACGGTCCAACTCTGCAAATCTAATTTCTGTTCCCTGTAGAAATCAATCAACCACATTAATCGACTCTGACGTTATTTTTAAACTTGCTATGCTTAATGTCAGATCTCTATGTAACAAATCATTTTTAATTAATAATTTTATCACTTCTTATGATCTTGATTTTATGCTTATGGCTGAAACATGGCTGGACCAAAATACAGGAAATGCAGTTCTAATAGAAGCAACACCACCCAATTTTAAATTCGAATCCGAAGTACGAGAAAACAAAAGGGGGGGAGGCATAGCTGCAGTTTTTAGAGAGCACTTTGTCTCCCATAGAATGCCCCTTGGAAATTTTTCATCGTTTGAGTATATTTCTTTTAAAATGGAACAAAAGCAATCTTCTACTCTTTTCATTGTCCTGTACAGGCCACCACAGTCATGTTGCGATTTTATTGACCATTTTACTGAACTATTTTCATTCGTGTGCACAGATTTTGATAGTTTAGTTATTACAGGTGATTTTAATGTACATGTTGATAATGTTGATGACAGAAATGCAAAGGAGCTGGCTTCTGTACTTGAGACCTTTGGTTTCATTCAGCACGTGAGTGGCCCCACCCACAGCAGGGGGCACACTCTTGACCTGCTAATTACAAAGGGGGTTAATGTATCAAATGTTAATGTAGTTGATGTTGCTTTGTCAGATCATTTCTGTGTATTTTTTGACATGTGTTTTTGCTAGCAAACCACCAGCTGAATTTACAATTGTTAGAAGAAGACACATACATGAAAACACAGGTGAACTGTTCATGGGAATGCTAAATTTTGAGAAAACTCCATGCTCTACTGTTGATGAATTGTATAACTCTGTCACCACCAGTGTTCTGACTGTTCTGGACGCCATTGCTCCTGTGACGGTTAAAATAGTTACCAGTAAGAAAAAGGCCCCATGGACTAAGGCAGACTCGGTCAGGGCACAGAAGCAAGAGTGCCGGAGGGCCGAACGGAAGTGGCGAAAGTCCAATTTCCAGGGCGATTATGAAATCTTTAAAGATGAGTTGGGTGAATTTAACCGGGTTCTACGAAGAACAAGAGAAATGTATTTTTCTGACATTATTGGAGGTTGCAGTAACAATTTTCGTGTTATGTTTTCAACAGTTGGTAGATTAACGAACCCCCCTGTAAAGTTGCCCCTAGAATTTTCCTCTAAATCTAGGTGTAATGAGTTCGCACAGTTTTTCGATGACAAAGTACAAGGAATCAAAAACCACTATCACCTCCACAGCACGTATAACAATGCAACAGCCAGAGAAGCTTTTTGAGCTAACTCACTTTGCACCTGTGGATACTGAAACTGTCAAAAAGATAATCATGAGTCTGAGCTCCTCCACATGTAGCCTGGATATATTGCCCTCTAAATTTCTGAAGTCCGTCTTGAGCAGTTTGTTACCTTCACTGACACAAATAGTAAACATGTCTCTGTCGTCAGGAACATTTGGGCGGCACGGTGGCTGAGTGGATAGCACTCTTGCCTCTCAGCAAGAAGGTCCTGGGTTCGAATCCCGGTTGGACCAGGGCCTTTCTGAGTGGAGTTTGCATGTTCTCCCCGTGTCTGCGTAGGTTTCCTCCGGGTACTCCGGTTTCCCCTACCACTAAAAATATGTACAATAGGTCTGGCATGTGCCTCCTGTACTGGCCCCGCTCCCATCTCTGTGTGGAGCGAGAGACAAATGCCCTAAAAAAAAAAAAATAACAATTGTAAACCGCTTTGAGACTCCTATGTGCAGTGAAAAGGCGGTATATAAATAAAGATTACTACTACTACTACTACTACTATTTCCTATGGCCCTAAAAACAGCAGTCATAAGACCTCTCCTAAAAAAGAGCAGTCTGGATCCTGCGGGACTTCAAAATTATCGCCCCATATCGAATCTGCCATTCATTGGAAAAATTCTTGAAAAAGTGGCCTCCCAACAACTTACTGAATTTTTAACAATGAATAATTCTTTTGATATGTTCCAGTCTGGGTTTAGACCCCACCACAGCACTGAGACCGCTCTAGTGAAGGTAACAAACGACATTCGACTTCACACTGATGCAGGTAAAGTCACAGTTTTGGTCATGTTAGATCTTAGTGCCGCGTTCGACACTGTCGACCATGAGATCCTCATGCAGAGACTGGAGGACTGGGTTGGTGTCACTGGCACAGCCCTAGACTGGTTTAGGTCTTACCTGGAGGATAGGAAGTACTTTGTGGAGATTGGAGACTGCGTCTCAGATCATGTGGCCCTGACCTGTGGAGTACCACAGGGGTCGATCCTGGGACCTCTCCTATTTAATCTCTACATGCTGCCGTTAGGTCAGTTAATACAAAGAAACAAAGTGTCCTACCACAATTACGCCGACGACACTCAGATCTATGTCTCACTGACTGCAGGAGAACATGGACCACTGGATTTGCTCCTTCACTGTATCCAACAGATCAGTGAGTGGATGCAAAATAATTTCCTCCAGCTAAATGCAGACAAAACCGAAATCATTGTCTTTGGTCCCCAGAAACAAAGAGAGGGCGTCATCTGTCAACTTCAGTCTCTCTCCCTACTTCCTTCAGACAAGGTCAGAAATTTGGGGGTAATACTGGACTCAGACCTAAATTTCAATAGCCACATAAAATCAATAACATCAACAGCTTTTTACCATCTGAAGAACATTGCCAAAGTCAGAAATATAGTGTCCAGGGCAGACTTGGAGATTCTTGTCCACGCATTTGTCTCCAGCAGGCTAGACTACTGCAATGGCCTGCTTACAGGTCTGTCCAAACAGACCTGTAAGCAGCTGCAGTGCATCCAAAATGCAGCAGCTAGAGTCCTGACAGGAACCAGGAAGTATGACCATATTAGTCCGGTCCTCAGGTCTCTGCACTGGCTTCCTGTGGCTCAAAGAATAGATTTTAAAACAGCTCTGCTTGTGTACAAGTCTCTCCATGGCCTTGCACCAGAATACATTAGTGACATGTTGGTGTCATATGAACCAGCCCGGACTCTGAGGAGCACAGGGACTGGCCTCCTGCTGGTGCCCAGAGTGAGAACCAAACATGGGGAGGCTGCGTTTCAGATCGATGCAGCTAAGATCTGGAACAATCTCCCTGAAAATGTGAGGGAGGCGTCTACTCTGTCAATGTTCAAATCCAGGTTAAAGACTGTTCTGTTTGCCTGTGCATACAACTGAAGGATTTTATCTCCATTTGTAATGCACTGCTGTCATTTATTTATTTATTTTTTTAAATTTCTTGTGTAACTTTGAAAGTGTTAATGGTTTTATTCTTTTGTGTGATTTTATTGTTTTTATTGTGTTTTAATCTTTTGTGTGATTTTAATGTTTTAATTGTGATTCTGGTGTTTGTTTTATGTGATGATTTGTGATGTGGACTGTGAAGCGCTTTGTGTTGCCCTGTGCATGAAAGGCGCTCTACAAATAAACTTTGATTGATTGATTGAAATGATGATAAAGTTAAAAGTTAAATTAAAGTAGATTATACATTTTCCAGTATTAAACTTGGCTTTCACTCAAAAATCCTGAACAATGTGATAAATGTGTTTCCCACAAACCCACTCAGCAGCTTTTCAACTTGTTCCGCCGCAATTTCCCACTAACTTTTTTATTTAGTGTTTATTAATGCACCTCTGCGTTTGGGCATCTGCCAACGAGGGCAAAGCGGCGTCCGATCGAGAGCTGGGGCTCTACAGCGGCGCATCCAGTTTCATGTCAAGAAATGCACAAAACATGGATTTACAAACTCTCTCTGAGCTGCGGACCTGATTAATATAAGGTAATTTCATAGACGCAGTTGTGGATGCTAAAGAGAGAAAAATCTTGCATAATGCATCATTTTTTTATATTATAAAAATTTCAAAAATGATTTAGGTACTTTTGACAAGGTTTTTAAAATAAGTGTTTAAAGTGATACTTTAATGTCCTTTGATCTTCATAACGACTCGCGGTTGCCGTAGTAACAGGGACTAATCTCCAGACACTGATGCTCTTGGTCACCTATTACCTATTGTACAGATTGTGCATGTTTTAGTGGTAGGGAAACCGGAGCCCCCGGAGGAAACCTACGTACACGAGGAGAACATGCAAACTCAGAAAGACCCTGCTTCGCCTGGGATTCAAACCCAGGACCTTCTAGGGGCAAAGCTCAACACTAACTAAAAACTGTTGAAGACGTCTCTGACCATTAGCTTTAGTGTTGAGCTTACACTAAAGCTACATCCATCATACGTCTCCTTTAATCAGAACGCGATGGACTCGCCGCCTACAGCAGAGCAAACCTTGTCAGTCTGCTGCTCGTCCGGGTCTGGGGGGGCGGCCTGGTTCCCCTCCACACGCAGGTTCCATCGGTCCAACTGCACCACGTCCCCGTCCTCCACGTGGGACAGGATCTTGGACAGGGGCTCGTCCGTGTAGCCCTGAGGACGCAAACAATTCACCAATCTCATTTCATGGAGGTTTCTCTGCGACAGCGCTGCTCCCGGATCACAACAGACCCGAGGATGTGTCACTCAGAGGTGGAAACACTGAAGCGAACGTCCTGGAGAGGACTGTGGAGGCCTTTTCTGTCTTTTCAAACTAAAGTATCAGACACAAAGACCCTTTATTCTCTGTCCTGACAAGACTCATGTTCAGTTAATTAAGGATTACTTCAGACCTTTTTTACAACTGTGTGTGTTATTGGCGGTGTTGGCTGTAAGTCTAAGTGGGGGGTTCAGGGAGATCTCTGGTGTGCATTATCTGCTCCGGTGTCTGCTGCACACTGGGGACTCTCCATCTCCACTAGTTTAAGTACCAGATACTTTAATACTGTAGTAGTACACTAGTTTAAGTACCAGATACTTTAATACTGTAGTAGTACACTAGTTTAAGTACCAGATACTTTAATACTGTAGTAGTACACTAGTTTAAGTACCAGATACTTTAATACTGTAGTAGTAGGATGGAAGTGGATGGAGGGGACTCACCGCGCCCCAGTTGAGGGTCCGGGCCAGGTCGTTCCCCGTCCCCAGCGGCATCACGGCCACAGGGGGCTGTGGGTTAAAGGAGAGGTCTTCGAGACACGACAGGATCCAGCCGACCTGACGAGAGAGAAGTGATTAATGCAACACCCTTTTCATTTCTGTGGAACTTCAAGAACAAATAGGACACATTAAATCTTTAGAAAGTGAATTAATATCTTTAGAAAGTGAATTAATATATTTAGAATGTGAATTAATATATGGTAAAACAGTATAATGCTTTCGACCTGCAGTGTCCCTATGTTGCCACCAGAGGGAGAACAGTCAAATTTGAAACAAGAAAACTTACACAAATTATGAAAAAACAGCCGAGTAATGACATTTCACTTGAAAAATTGTCAAAGTCAATTTACTTTTGTTTTAAAAAGCAGAAAACTGGTCTGAATGTGGTGTTTTAAACTGAAATGTGTTTTAAATATGTTTATGTTGCAGTAAAACCCTGACATCAGACATCTGAGTTTCTGTCTATTCTTTTTATCCAGCATCGCAAACCCAAGGACAGTTATAAAATGTGGATTATAAATATATAAATAAATAAAGTGGATTGGATTGAGCCAGCCTAAGTTGCAGCCTGAGTTTCCCGGTTGAATTTCCGACTTTCCCATTTTGCAAGTTGGAAACCATAACTACAGTGTTTTTTCCGAGACAGGCGCTTTCGAGCACATTAACACAACAGAAAGTGAACTTGGACAAAGGCTCAGAATCAGAATTTCAAAACAGCCTCGATGCCTTTGCTCTCGGCTTGGAATGTTCCGGATACGTTTTGATGCAGAAAATGGTAAATGATTTGTAATGGCCACGTCGGAGGATTGTTCTCCCTAATTGTTTGGAAAAAAGGATAAAAGATTTCAGAAGTCTTTGTAAAAGGCCAGATAAAAAAAATAATAAAAAAAACGATAGTACTTTGGGGATTGCCGACAGCGCTAGTGATGTCAAAGTAGAAACTGTCACAAAATCCCATTCAAGTCTGAGCAGAAATGACTAATTGTGGAAGTGTTGTTTGTGACTTGTGACTCTGTCTTTGAGAAATTAACATCAAAAACGACTAAATAAATGAATTTCATTTGGATGCAGTTTGGAGAGGTCCAACGTGTATTAGCTCAGACTCTTTGATAATCTAGTAAAGTATAATCCCCCCTTTTCCCAACAGACAACTTCTTGTTTTTAGCATCTCAGAAATCAAAACATGGCGTCTAAAGCAGAGTTGGAAATACAGTAGAGACCAGCTCACTGGGCTCCACAACATTAATGAAGAGAGATTTAATTATCCTTGTATTCTATTCATTCATTTGTAAACCACATTTAAAAAACAGCCCAGGCTTACGTGTCCTGTATAGACAAGTGAAAAACAACAAATAAAAACACAAAATATACAAGATGAAACATGCATTTATTCAAATAAAAAACTGAAAAACTTGTCTCTTGCCACCTGGTATAAAAAGACAAAGAGAGAAGGTGCGTCTTTGGTAGGGATTTAAAGTGTCGAGTGATTGTGCAGTTCTAATGTACAAATGTTGAGGAGTTCCACAGCTGTAGCTCTAAGACTGTGGTCCTGAGACTGTGGTCCTGAGACTGTGGTCCTGAGACTGTGGTCCTGAGACTGTGGTCCTGAGACTGTGGTCCTGAGACTGTGGTGCTGAGACTGTGGTCCTGAGACTGTGGTCCTGAGACTGTGGTGCTGAGACTGTGGTCCTGAGACATATAAGATAAGATTTTGTAGAGGACTATAGTGAAAAACTAGGGGTTCAACACAAATAAACAAATAAAAACGAATTATTATTAGTTATTATTAATTATTAGTGCTCTACATTCCCAAAAAAAGAATTGAAATGTAAATGTGATTTGAGTTTTGGACATTATTTAGAACACGCTGTACTCACCGTGCCGTCGCCGCCGCACGCCAGGATCCTCAAGTTTGGCACTTTGCGATACAACTCCAGCCTGAAGACCAGACGTCCAAACTGTGAGTCATCTTGTTTTCTCCCATATGTGTCTGTGTGTGTGTGTGTATGTGTGTGTGTGTGTGTGTGTGTGTGTGTGTGTGTGTGTGTGTGTGTGTGTGTGTGTGTGTGTGTGTGTGTGTGTGTGTGTGTGTGTGTGTATGTATGTATATGTACATACGTGTGTGTGTGAGTATGTGTATGTACTGTATGTATAAATGTGTGTGTATGTATGTGTGTAATATATACATGTTTGTGTGTGTCTGTGTATGTGTGTATGTATATATGTGTGTGTGAGGACCTACCCCTCGGTGGGCCCTCCATGGCTGAGGTCGAACACCTGTCTGGGGTTCAGGTTCCACATCAGTGACTGCAGGATCTTGGTTCCCTGTGATCACCGAACATTAGCAAAGGTACAGTCCCTCAGTTGTTGTAAAGCAAAACACAATTGTTTCAGTGGAGTTGCCACGATTTCAAATGTTGCGATTATTGTGAGAGAAAATATTACAATTATTCACAATAATCGACATTATGAAAATAAACTCAGATGGTTTTTTGAGTTTTTTTTTGGCTGGAAAACAATGGATGGATAAATTAAGATTATCATTTAATATTTTACTTGATTTTATTGTATGTATAACATTTAAAATATGTAAATAGCTGTATAAAAAAAATTGGGTTAAAGTAAAATGTTTTGGTTTATTGGATCACATGACCCCTGACAACAGCATGGTTACCCCTGACAACAGCATGGTTACCCCTGACAACAGCGTGGTTACTCCTGACAACAGCGTGGTTACCCCTGACAACAGCATGGTTACCCCTAACAACAACATGGTTACCCCTGACAACAACATGGTTACCCCTAACAACAACATGGTTACCCCTGACAACATGGTTACCCCTGACAACAACAAGGTTACCCCTGACAACAACAAGGTTACCCCTGACAACAGCATGGTTACCCCTGACAACAGTATGGTTACCCCTGACAACAGCATGGTTACCCCTGACAACAGCTGGTTACCCCTGACAACAACATGGTTACCCTTGACAACAGCATGGTTACCCCTGACAACAACATGGTTACCCCTGACAACAACATGGTTACCCCTGACAACAGCTGGTTACCCTTGACAACAGCACGACCTAGTTCTTGGTGAAACACCGCTGACCTGATTTCAATGCTCATAATTGGAGATGATAAATGATGACATAACAACGTTTCTATCACTGGTTTTTACGATTTTAATCTTAATTTGCTTCACTTTGGGATTTAACTTCTCACATGAAAGTGAATTTATTTGTGTATTTGAACTTCAAATATGAAGTTATATAGACTCAATACAAAGTGACATATGCCAAGAGTTTTATAATGCTGATGAGTCTTATTTTTGGGTTTTTTACAGCTGTGAGACAAATATCCACGTTACAACAAATAAAGGCTTGATGAAGTTGACTCTGTAATGACTCATTTATTACCTTACATTTTAAGTTGAATTACAGACTCAAGCTCAGATTTGGTTCTAATAACCAAACTTTTTCAGCTTTTGTCCATGTTTTATTTGGTTCACCTTGTCATTCACACACAGAGATGTTTTTACTGTGATTTATGCATGTTGGAATTATTTCTATCCTCATATATGCGCGCCGCCATTGCTCTCCCCACACTCCTCCAACCCCACACCTCTCTAAAATGTGGTCTGAGATCATTAGATTATACAGGGTTAAAGGGGACATAAACAGGAGGTTATGTCCCCTTTAAAACATTTGTTAAAAAACTCAGACATAAGTTCATGCATTCAACCTAAAAGTCAGACTTCTTTTGCCCAAACCGTTGAACTTTTTGCTGCATATTTGTGACCGAGGGTGCTACTCCAATGTTTTTTTAACATCAAGCAATTTGAATCCTTACGTCCATATTCCCCATATGAATTTGTATTTTACTGTGTTCATGGACTTTCGGAGGCAGCCTTTTTTTGGCTCGGTTTGTTCAGTCCACAGGAAGTCCTCTGGGACCGACCTAATTCTTTAAACATAATAGAAACATAATTAAAAATCCTAGCCCCGGTGTCGCGCTGCACATTGTAGCTCGAGTTATTAATGCCACTCCAAAGACTGCGGCCGTAATAACCTCCGGAATGAGTCCAATTTAAAAATGCATTTCCCGGCTTTGGGCCTGTACCTGGTTTCCTCCGCTCTTGGGATTGACAAAGACCAGCAGAGGCTTCATGAGCGGCGAGGGCACGGGCCGGATCAGGAACGGCTTCCAGGGTCGACCCTCCTGCTCCGGAGAGGGAGGGAGAAATACACAATCTGTCAACGCAAACCTCCAGACGTGCTTCAATTCCACCGTCTGGCTCCACGAGTATCGGAAAAGATCAATGTTTTTTGGGGAAGTAGAATCCTTGAAATTGCTATGAGACCAGGCCAAATAGCATTTTTTTATTGTAAATGCATTTTATGGAACAACATAAAAAAGGTCTTATGGAATCCTGGCAGGGCAAATGAGTTTAATTGCTAATGGTTAGAAACTATACATCATGCAACTCAACAACATGCAGATTTTACCCTTCTCTCTACTACTACTACTACTGCTACTACTACTGCTACTACTACTAATAATATTGTAGTAGTTTTATATAGAGCGTTTCAGGACTCAAAGACTTCACATGTCCTTCTTTCTCTCCAAACACGGTGGTGATAAACTACTGTAGCCACAGCTGCCCTGGGGCACACTGACAGAAGCGAAGCCCCTCCCACCCCCACCAACCATTCACACACCAGACTCATTCTAATGTGGGGGAATTGTCTTGCCTAAGGACACAACCACACTTTGGCACTTTACAGCCGCAGCCCCCCCACTGTGGCACCTGCTGTTCCCAGAGGTCTCCCATCACAGTACTAACCAAGCCCTGCCCTGCTTAGCTTCAGAGGTCTGATAGGATTTCACATGCATATCTGTCTTTGAGAATAACAATCTAAACTAAACTAAACACTGAGCTCGAGGAGAGGTCGAAAGCGAGTTCTATTTATTCAGTTATTTAACCAAGAAAGTTATTACACAACCAAGGTTTGGACGGTCTATCAAACTGTGTTACCGTGACAGACACACACACAGACACTCACACACACAAACACACAGACACACACACACACACTCACACACAGACACTCACACACAGATACACACAGATACACACACACACAGATACACTCACACACAGACACACACACAGATACACTCACACACACACACACACACATAGATACACACACACTCACTGACACACACACACACACACACAGATACACACACTGACATACATACACAAACACACACACACAGACACTGACACGCACACACACCCACACTGACACACACACACACACACACACACACACACACAAACACACACACACACACACACACACACACACTGACACAAACACACAAAAACACACTGACACACACACACCTCGGAGGCCTTCTTGCTGCTCCTCCTCTTGAACGATGCTCGCTTGTTCTTCTTGCTGCTCTTCACCGACGACTGTCACAGAGGAAGAGGAGGATGAAGAGGAAGAGGAGGAGGAAGAGGAAATGGAAGAGGAGGAAAAGGAGATGGAAGAGGAGGAGGAGGAAATGGAAGAGGAGGAAAAGGAGATGGAAGAGGAGGAGGAGGAAAAGGAGATGGAAGAGGAGGAGGAGGAAATGGAAGAGGAGGAAAAGGAGGATGAAGAGGAGGATGAGGAAGAGGAAGGGGAGGAAGAGGAAGGGGAGGAAGGGAAATGTTACTTGTGTGCCTCTAGGACAGGGGTGCTCACACTTTTTCAGCATGCGAGCTACTTATAAAAGGATCAAGTCAAAATGATCTACCTACTACAAAAATGCAAATCATATATTTATTTCAAAACATATCTTTATATCTACAATGTATGTTTATGTACATGCAAAACATGCATGAGCCAATATAGCACAATACAACACAATTACCTATGTACATTTGTCATTACCCGAGTTTACTCTTATGACTTGCACTGAATTGAATCGGCCAGGGATGCATAGTCCGGAAAATTGGTGGTAACTCGCTGACAAGTTTGTCGTGGTTTAGCTTTCCTGCACTGAGCGCGGTTGTTTGCGCATGTGCAGTCACCTAAGTGTCAGTAAAACATTACTGAGTAAAACACAGATGTCATTTGACTGTGGTGCCATGTCCATGTGCCATGCCTGTTTTTTTTAAATCCAAATATTTCCCCTCCTCAGTTTATAAAATAATTTGCATCCATACATCTGCGTTATCAATCACATTCGTAACATTCCAAACATGTGCGTCTCTTACGTCCTGTCCTGCGTTGGGGAAAAACACAGAAGTGGGCGGAGCTTTGATGCAGACGCCGGTAACGGCACTTTTACAGTCATAGAAGACACTCAGAGTAAAGATGTATGTTTACAAGCACTGAACCCGTCCTCAGCCCTGGTTTAGTCCTGGTTTAGTCCTGGTTTAGTCCTGGTTTAGTCCTGGTTTAGTCCTGGTTTGGTTGTTTTCGAGCGTGAGTCCCCGCGATCACTTTGCTGCTCTCTGATGTGGAGCGAGGATGTTCGCTGCTGCGAGCATCTCACAGCGAACAGTTTTTAAGGTAGTATGATCCATGCTTCAGTGATCAGAGGAATTTAGGGGGGTACCTTGGCGTGCGAGAACGCAAAACTCCGGTTATCTCTGTCTACACACAAATGCATTAACGGAGTTTTCAAAAATCTCCACTTTGCCCGGAGTTTTTTGTATATATTAGTTTAGAATGTGTAATTTTTTATTTATTTAATGCAATCTACCAATAGTACCTTTGCGATCGACGTATTGAGCACCCCTGCTCTAGGAGAACGTGCTTTCAAAACACCTGTGTTGACCCAGGTGGGCGGGGCTATGAGCGTTACCTGGTGGGCGGGGCTATGAGTGTTACCTGGTGGGCGGGACTATGAGCGTTACCTGGTGGCGGCGAACCCGGACGACCCAGGTGGGCGGGACTATGAGAGCTGCGTGCGCTCCTATTGGACAGGGCTCCTCGATGTGCTGCAGCATGAAGCAGGACACTTTGTTGTGGTACTGGAAGAGAATCAAACAAGTTTATTTGTGTAGCACAGTTCATACACGAGGAAAGTACAGCAGGAGACCAGTGAATGTGTGTGTGAGTGAGTGAGAGGGTGAGTGAGAGGGTGAGTGAGTGAGTGAGTGAGTGAGAGGGTGAGTGAGTGAGTGAGTGAGTGAGAGGGTGAGTGAGTGAGTGAGAGGGTGAGTGAGAGGGTGAGTGAGTGAGAGCGTGAGTGAGAGGGTGAGTGAGTGAGTGAGTGAGTGAGAGGGTGAGTGAGTGAGTGAGTGAGTGAGAGGGTGTGAGTGAGAGGGTGAGTGAGTGAGTGAGAGGGTGAGTGAGTGAGAGGGTGAGTGAGTGAGAGGGTGAGTGAGTGAGAGGGTGAGTGAGAGGGTGAGTGAGAGGGTGTGAGTGAGAGGGTGAGTGAGTGAGTGAGAGGGTGAGTGAGTGAGAGGGTGAGTGAGAGGGTGAGTGAGAGGGTGTGAGTGAGAGGGTGAGTGAGTGAGAGGGTGAGTGAGTGAGAGGGTGAGTGAGTGAGAGGGTGAGTGAGAGGGTGAGTGAGAGGGTGTGAGTGAGAGGGTGAGTGAGTGAGTGGGTGAGTGAGTGAGTGAGTGGGTGAGAGGGTGAGAGGGTGAGTGGGTGAGTGGGTGAGAGGGTGAGTGAGTGAGTGGGTGAGTGAGGTGAGTGAGTGGGTGAGTGAGTGAGTGAGTGAGTGGGTGAGTGGGTGAGAGGGTGAGTGGGTGAGTGGGTGAGTGAGTGGGTGAGAGGGTGAGTGGGTGAGTGAGTGGGTGAGAGGGTGAGTGGGTGAGTGAGTGGGTGAGTGGGTGAGTGGAGTGAGTGGGTGAGTGGGTGAGAGGGTGAGTGGGTGAGTGGGTGAGTGAGTGGGTGAGAGGGTGAGTGGGTGAGTGAGTGAGTGAGTGACTCACAGCCTGTTTGCACCAGGAGCAGCTGATGGCCACGATGTCTTTGTTGTGGAAAGTGAATTTCTGCTGAAAACCCTGAACACAAACAACAACAAGTTTGAGTGTTTTTAGTTTGAGCACGTTCTGACTCCATACGGTTGTGTGTCTGGTCCATGGTTGGTTGTGTGTCTGGTCCATGGTTGTGTGTCTGGTCCATGGTTGGTTGTGTGTCTGGTCCATGGTTGGTTGTGTGTCTGGTCCATGGTTGTGTGTGTCCTGTGTGTGTCTGGTCCGTGGTTGTGTGTCTGGTCCACGGTTGTGTGTCTGGACCATGGTTTTGTGTGTCCTGTGTGTGTCTGGTCCATGGTTGTGTGTCTGGTACACAGTTGTGTGTCTGGTACACACCCTGCCGCACTGCCTACACTTGCCGTCCTGCTTCCTGCGGTGGACCCAGTGATGGCGAACGACCAGAGGCTGCCGCACAAACACACACACACTAGATTCACACGTTACATTGAAACTCCCAGAGCAGTCTATTTGACGGCTTTCATTTTGGAAGCGTAGTTCCTCGGCTCATGTACATTGTTGGCCTTCATAACTTTCTGTATCTATGAGTAGTTCATTTCTATGTCAACATTTTTATCAATTATTATTTTGAAATGTGGGAAGTTCTACTACAATGAACTCCCAGAGGAGTCACTTTGACTGCTCCATTAATTTCAAAGCAAAATTCCAATTTGGCCATTTTTTAGTCTCTTGGAAACATTCTATGGCAGTTAAAGACCCTGTTCTCCAAGGTGCTGGTTCTGGACTGGTTCTGGACTGGTTTCGGAGTAGTTTAGGCCTTGTCCTGGACTGGTTTTGATTTTCCACCAGAGCAGAGCATGTGTTAGCATGTGTTAGTCTTTCAACAATCTGTGCTATATTTCAGTTTAAATAGTTATCATCGGTTTCAGCACATATTAAAAACTAAATCACCTTTTTGATTGAATTTCTTAGAATTCCGTTGATTTGAATGGGAGCAGTCAAAATGACAGCTATGGGAGTTCTGGTAGTTTCAGGATTCTGGGAGTTCTGGTGTTTTAAAGAACTCTATACTGCACTGACATTTACCTCTCTGTGGTTCCGCGTTCCTCCTTCACGGAAAGACGGCTTGCACCTAAAATTAATCTGAAAGTAAAAATATCAAGTGGACGCATTAGAACCGATCCGTGAAAAAGTTCCGGTCCACATGGATTGGAACCCAAACCCGAACCCAGCGTGTCCCGGTGACGACAGCAGAGAAGAAGAAGAAGAGCCACTCGTTTATGAATGCGTGGATTTAAATCTTATTATGCTAAAATCCACTTTCTCTCTCTTTGAACCACATGACATTGTTCCATCAGTCACAGACCTGGAGTTGCTTTTAGATCCTCCCATGCTAATATCTGGAACTTCTGGAAATTACGTTCTTTATCCAGTAATTGGTTAAATTTGAAAGAAAAAAAACGACCCCTCCCTCTGGTGGTAGCATCGGGAACTACAGGTCAAAAGCATTATTACCCTTCACACTTGTTTCTCAATATATTGTCTTCTGTAGATATTATTCCATACTAAAACATGAAATGACAAAGTAAATTATCTCATTATTCTAATTAACAGCAGAAATAAGGCATGATATTTCTAATTTAACACTTTTCCTCCAATTATAGACATTTAAATATTTAACGTAATCAGACATAACACATTCATAAAGGAACGGGCCAAAAGTAGTGGTTGTCAAGTTTCCTGCTGAATCAGAAAGAAAGAAAGAAAGAATATTTGTTGAACAGAGATTAAGGATTTAAAATGCGGCTGATGGGATTATTAGAATACAACCATTTGACATGTGCTCAGGGCGTTTTGTGAATCTAAAAGGCCTTTCTCTCTCTCTCTCTCTCTCTCTCACCTTCTCTCCTCTCTCTCCTCCTCCTCTTCCCTCTCTCCTTCTCTCCTCTCTCCCTCTCACCATTCTCTCCTCCCTCTCTCTCCTTCACCATTTACTCATCCTCTCCTCCCACTTTCCCCCCCCTCATCTATCCTCACATTCTCCTCCTCTCTCTCCCCTCTTGCTCTCCTCATCCTCCGAGTCTCTCTCTACGTCCTCTCCCCCTCTCACCATTCTCTCCTCCCCTCTCTCCTCACATCATTCTCCCTCTCTCCTCTTTCCTCTCTCTCCTCACATTCCTCATCCTCTCTCCCCCCTCTCCCTCCCCTCTCTCCTCATTCTCTCGCTCCTCTCTCTCTCCATTCTCTCTCTCATCTCTCCATCCCCTCTCCCTCATCCATCTCCTCTCTCAGTCCACCGTCTCTATCCTCCCCTCGATCTCATCCTCCACCATACCTCCCTCTCCCCCTCCCCCTCCCGCTGCAAATCTTTTCTTCCATCTTCTACCTTCTTTCTTTTATTTTCACAGCTACCAATCCTCTGCTTTCCCAACTCATCATCCCCGCCTCCTCTCTCAAATTCCTCCTCACATTCCCTCGTCCCTCGGATTTCTTCTCGCCAGAACATTCTCGACCCTCCTCAGTCAACCGTCCGTTCGTACCCCTCGTCACTGCCTTCTCCTGCCACCTACACTCTCTCCCACCTTCCCCACCTCCGATCATGCAACAACAACTAATCAACACATACTCTCCATCTTCCATCTCCCGAATCTCCTTCTCTCTGCTCTGCTCACAGATCTCGCATGTATCTGTTACCTCAAAACACTTGCATCGCTCCTTCTCATCTGCTCCTCCCAACAACTTCTATCATCAACTCACTCTCCCCACTCCTCCCGCTCTAATATCCCGCTCTCCACCCCCTCAGACAGACCTCATACTTGCGACACTCTCTTTCCATCGCTCCCACCTCCATCTCCGTCTTATCGTCTACTCTCCTCCCTCCCCCTCGACCCTCACTATCCACTCTAACCCACTGCCAACATGTTTGACCCCCCCGCTCTCCGCGTTCCGTTCCCCCTGCCACATCGAATCTACATTCTCCCCCTCGCAATCCACTTCTTCTTTTTTTGGTTTGATTCTCTTTCATTGGCTCATTTTGGAATTTTTTCTTCTTTTTTCCCACTCACTACCCCCCGTCTTCCCCCTCCTCACCCACTATCCCACCCCCTCTTCTCTCCCCCCTACAACGCACAGACATTCTCCCGAGATAACAAATTCCCATCCCTATCCTCCTTTTGTCCATTTCTCCTCATACTACGATTTCACTAGACCATTACAAAAAGACATAAATAGAATACATTTCCCGATGTTCTTTCCCCCCTTCTTCTCCTAGCTCAATCGCCGTCTCCTCTCTCGCTCCAACTATCCGGTTCCCCCTCAAAGCCCCTCAATCGCACAGTCAGAGTCACTTCCGCTTCTCTCCTTCCCTCCAGCTCCCTCCTTCCGCATCGCCCTTCTCACGCACGCTCCGTCTCACCGTGAATTTCGCCTCCCCCCGCGGTGGTTGCGAACAACACATCGAGGTGCTAAGCCTCCACGGAAAGCCTCGGTTCGGGATCCACGCCCGACGCAATTACGCCAAATCCACCTACCTCCATGGGAGCTCTCACATCGGTAGAGTCATCAATCCACAGTCTCACCCCGTCCAGCATCTCTCTCTGGGATCCTTCTCTCACGGATCAATCTCGTCCACTCAGAAACTCCTCCTCACAGATAGCTCTTTCCAACCCCTCCCCCACATGCGGCAAATACCATCAAGGCGCCCAAATCTCGACACTCGGGCACACTCACGTCCTCTCGGTCTCCTCGTTTCAACCAGTCCCCCTCGTCCTCGTGCACTCCCCCCTCTCGTAACGACCTCTCCAAATTTCGCTCGCTAATAACACGATACCTCATAAACCATCCAATCCCCCCAGCTTCCAGGTGCCCTCACAAAGACGATCGGGCCGCCAACCTCGTCTCTCGCAGAATCCAGAAACCCCTGATCTAGGTAAACGTCGACCTACGCGGCATTGCTCTCCGGCGCGACAACCCCCCTCCTCGAGATCCCTCACGGATGGGGGGGGGGGGAGGGCTCCACCTCCCGTTAGAGACTGAAGTCTTTCAGCTCGCCATCGGCGTCCTTCACTATCAACCCCAGACTTCCCGATCTCATTCCCGGGGTCTCTTCCCAATCAACCCATCCGTCACAGAGATTCATCTATCTCATCCATCCCCCAAACCAACGAGATCGCTCGGAACACTCCGTCTCAATCGGGTCTCCTCATCATCACCCACTCAACTTCCCAAGAAGGAACATCTCCAGAAACTCTCCATGCCCTTAAACTAGAATGCCTCACTCTCAGTCAATACGACCGCCTCTCCTCCCAAACATCATCCGTCAATCTGTCCTAACCGACGGGAGTGCACTCATATCCTCAATACTATATCACTCCTAGAAACATCAAACACTAGGCCATCAAGATCATCTCCAATCCGCTCTCTCGCCCTCTCCGGAGCGACTGACAACCCCGTCCGATGACCTGCAAGGGTCGCAACCCTGTTCTCAGCGTCAGATCACATCACAACACACCTACCTACCTCACTTCCCTTCAATACCCATTCTCGTGCGGCAGCCCGAGAAAGAGCCGTCGGCTCCTCCAACCTCCCTAACGCATCCTCAGATCTCCCCTCGTCAAGGCCACCGCGACATACAACCCCCTCAGAGACGTACACCATGACCTCTAGGAATGCATTGTCTCCCAGTCGCCCGACCGGGTACTCCAATGCACACAGATAATCCGCCCACGCGACACACCTAATACTGCCCATCGGATGTCAGCACAAACGCGCCCCTCTCCAAAACTGCAAGTGCGGATTCAAGAAGCACAGACATCGCTCAAACTTAACATAGCATCCTCGAGTGCCGCAATGACGACCCAGTCCAATGCCAACGGCCCTATAACACCGTGCTCATCCCGCACTCCTTTTAAGACAGGTCAACTACCAGTCACCATCCCCACAGCCTACCCCATGTCGACACACCCCCGGTCTCCCCCTCGACGACCAAATCGCGTCCTAGTCGTAGCCCCTGGACGAATACACCTCCTCCGTTCCCCCACTTAAGCGGTAGCCAGGCTCTCAAATATGGCCTGCTCCGACACTCAACTGGGCAAACTGCCGTCGTCATAATCAAACACGACTCTGAGTGTCAGATATCTATCTCGCTTCTCACGGACACCAACTACAGATCCTCAGTCTGGAAAGCGACAGGTCACTCCTCTCGTCACATAGGGACTCCTCCAGTCGACTCCTAGGTTCGTCATCCAAATACAGACCACACATACTCCGAAAGGTGCAAAGTCTCAGAGCGCTAATAACTCGGCGCCAGACTCCTCCCTCGCAACACCATCACGAGACAACAGGGCCTCAAATAACTCATGTAAGCCTCTCGCAAATCATCCCCAAAGGCGAAGCATCGGAACACCATTCTCCAATATCATCGTCACTAACTGCTCTCGCGGCTGAATCTCGGAGGCATCTCAAGCCAGTTCCCAAGGCGCTACCTCAAAACTCAGTTGGGTCTGAGACGACGTCCCAAACCACCCTCAGGCTGCCCCCTCCGTGAACTCACTTCCACGCTTCCCCCTACCTTATGCTCTACCTCCGGAAGAGATACCCGATCGAAGAATGTAAGAGTGCTCCGGCAACGCACACCCGCGAGTCTGTCTTCTCCACCAAGAACCTGAACTCATTCCACTCTCCATCCCTCCATGTCGCTTATGAGGAAAGAGAATCTCCTCTCTTGCCCTGGTAAATCAACACACCACAGTCACACCGCGAGCTCACCCCCTCACAATTTAAACTCGGCCAAACCACACGATCTAATGTCCGTGCTCGACTACTCGGTCACGACCGAGATCAAAGTCGTACATTCTCGAGGTCACCCCACCCTACGTCAACATAGAACAATAACAAGTCTCCGTACGACTCTAACCCCAGTCGAAATCTTCTCAAGCCATTCGGCATACGACGCATCTCAGGACTACTCTGGAGCAGGCCGTAAATCGCGCGACCTCACAGTTGATCACACGAGCCTCGGCCCTACTCTACACCTCTCATATTCGAACGACATCCGTCTGCATCTCACCGTGCACAAACGACCCACGACCTCCCTGAATCCAGGCCCAATGGCCACACAAAGCTTCATAACCGCTCTCCTCACTCCGGCCCCTCCGAATTTCACGTTACAGGTCGACTCATCCCATTCACCCCTCTGTCCTCTCGGAGATAACTCCCGTCAGAGCCACCAAGGACTGCCGCGTCGCTAACAGCCTCCAACCCTACACCTGTTCTGCTCCTCACCCCCCTCTAGATTCACCGGGCCAGGTATAAACTCAAGTCAAACCTCACGCCGACAGCAGATCGGGGTCTGGACTACGCACTCAAAAGACCGGGTGAACTCACCTTCCGGTCCGGGTCATTCCAAAAATCTACCTTCACTAGACCCCCTCGGCCCGTCTCCGGCTCGTCTCTCACAGAAGCATCCTCCCACCGTATCCCTACTGTCGACTTCTCCACTTCGCACTCTCTATTCCCCGTTCCATCAGAATTAGTTCCCGCAAAATCATCCCCACACAGACAATCGCTCTCCGTTCACCGTCACCGCTCCAGCCCCGTTCACCAAGACCTCCCATCTCAACGCTAGCTCAATAGCTCCAACTAGGGCCCCGCGCGTCATTCGCTCCCCCAGCACACCCAAAAACTCCATACCCCCCATCCTCGTACACCTACGGCATTCGACTCCGACTCACTCCCCTGATTCCCGAATCTCTAAAGACCTCCCTGTCCCACATATCGCAACCTCCCGGGCCCGTGTCTCTGTCATCTCCCCCGCTGCTGGTCGAACCTATCACCAGTTCATTCCTCCGGCCTCTGTAACTCACATTGTCTTTCCAAAAAGCTTTCCATCACTCAAAAGCCTTCTCCTCTGGCACACCATCATCCCTCCGGATTCTCACATGCTCGAATTCTCACCCCTCCCTAGCCAAATACCTCACTCAAGAGAGTCCCAAAAAAATCTCATCGTGGCTCTCCATATCAGTGCCCAAGCGCAGAGTCTTTACTCCGTGGCACACCCCCCATATCGTACGAGTTCAGTAATATCGCAACGACCTCTTACCCGAATCCTCTAAGCGGCTCCAATTCCCTCTTCGGAACCCATCCTCCACAAACAGGACTACCGCCTGGATCCTCGGTTCCCCCTCGCCACACAGGATTCCAAAAGCTCCGTGCCTCTAATCACTCGGCAACGGAACCTCCCCCGTACATGAGTCAACGCATCATCTGAAGGGCCAAAATTTCGTCGCCCCGGTCTCCTCTCATCCTCTAACCGCGATCAGCCGGCAGTATCCGTAATCGTATCTCGCCATCTCACATCTCTGGGCGCCTCGCGACATCAATGACTATGTTCTAGAACTACGACATCAGACTCAAAATCAAACCCTCATCAACGAGAACCAAGGAAGTCTTACCCTCTCGGGGACTCAGACCCGAGCCGTCCCACGGTTCGAACTTACTCTCCGCCCCTTCCGACTTCTTAATTCCCTCCACTCGCATGGTCTCTTCATCCGAAGACTCAACAGCATCGCTCCTATACGCACCCCAACCACCCAATCCTGGTTTCGAACCAGGCCATCCTCTCATCTCTACGTCTCCCTCAAGTGGCCCTTAACTCCTTCTCAAGTCCCATGCCCTAGCACCACTCATCATTCCACTTATGTCGCTGCTCTCCCCTCACAATTTTCGAGCACCACATCGAACCGGATTGCTCAACTCCCCACTACCTCCCCTCAAACAGGATTACACCGCCACACGAGGTACAACCCACGCGACCCTCCCTCCTCTCCAGGACACTCTCAACCCTTCACATAAGTTCCATTTCCTCATTCACCGCGAAATTTGCACATCAGTCTCTATTCGGCTACTCTCATTCCATCGCGAATACTATCGTCACAGCTAAACTGCTGATCAAAAACTGCAGGGAAACCTCGCTTTAGTCAACTCCATGAACTCAGGACCCCAGCTCGGCGTACTCTCCTCGCACACGCCCCCAAACAGCAAGACCTCTACATCACCACCTCACGCTTCGACTCTCGATCCCCGCGAGTGCATCTATGAGACGCAATCTCCCATAAGAAGTCTAGACTCGGTCACTCAGACAGCCCTTCAATCCAGCGCCATCCAAAGCTCACTCCACTCCTCAAAGCCTGAGGTCCCGGTGCACTAATCTACACCCTTACTCCCCTCCTCCCCTCCCAGTCCTTCTCTTCAGTAGGTGTCTGCGCACAACATCACTCTCTATCGATCCAACAACGAACTCGCCGCACCTATCCGTCTACTCGTCTACGAACAGAGAGTTCTGTGCTCAAGGCCCAGTCACATCAAGTACTCCGTCCACCAAAATACCCCATCATTCTATCTACCCCACTTCGACCACCCTATCCCAGACTCACTACAAAAGTCAGTCTTATGTCCGCTCAAACCAGGATGGGGGGGGGGGGTGCAACCGTATCTCTCCTCTCCTGAGATTCTTCTCATAGAGGTATCATTCATAAACAACTCCACAGATCAGGGACCATACTCCGCATCTTCCTCACCAGCAGGCTCCATACAAACTCGAGAGCCTCCTTAAGAAACGCAGCTCACCATATCCAACTCTCTACAGACTCATACTCTCCCACCCTGTCTCTCCTGTCTCCTCACACCCATACACCCAGATCTCACTCTCAGTTCTCACAAAGACGATAATCTCGCTCTCATCCCCACTCGCTCAACAGTCCCAGCCCAATCCCTTCCCGAATTTCTCTCTCCTCTCCACCTACCATCTACCTACTCGGCGATTCTCGCCTGACCATTGTGACAAGGGCTTCCTGACCAGTTATCTCGGTACTCCCCGCAATAACTCCCCCTCGAGGGCAGACATCAGCTCACTCACCTCCCATTGGACTAATCCTCACCCTCTCACTCGCGATCAACGGTCAATCAAAATAACCTCAATCGACTCGTCGCCTCTCCAACCGCATTCACACCACTCCCTTCACCCCACCCCCCACCCCCTATCCCCACCGGGGGGCACGTCACCTACTTTCATACCATTCTCAGTACACAATCCCCATCAGTCTTCCGCTCTTTCTTCCCATTCGTCGCCTTCTGAAATGTCATCTCAATCTACCCTCAAACTCAAATTGGTCGACCACTCCCCACGCTCGTCAATCCCACACAGACGCTCGTGACATAAGTGGCGGACGTCTCGAACTCCTCCCAAATCTCAATCCCTCTCTCGCTCGATCTCTCCGCTTCCATAAAATATCTCCACTCTCATTGACTCGCTTCTCACACTCCCACCACCATCCATACTACCTCATCTCTGTGCGGCTATTCTCTCTCAGCATAGCACTCTCCCCACTCTAGTCAAACTCTCAATGCACGACTCCTTCTCACACTGACCTCTTCATCTACGTCTCATCTCTCAAACCTCAGTCAGTTCCAGTCCTTCGCCCTCCAACTTCTTCGTTTCTACTCTCAATACTCTTTCTCCTCTAACGTCCCGGTATCCCTCTACATCTCACAAGAATCTGCGATCCAGCTCCACCACTCTCTCCTCGAACACATCCACCTCGTCCCCATCGTCTCTCATCGACGCCTATTCTCTTACCCGGTCACATCTCTCTCTCTCACTCTCTCAGTGCAGACTCCTGTCGATTCCACCGAAACTTCCGAGTCGCCAGGCCTCGACTATAGACTCTCGTATTCGTCTCTGATGACCTCCTACTCGCGCACTGCCCAAGTCGTCTGACATCTCAACTCTCTATCTCCATGCTTTCCTCACTACCTCTCTCCGCGCTTCTCCCGAGGGTGATCATCATCTCCCAACTCCCGTCCGTTGCTGTGCACCCCAGAACCTTCACTCTCTTCCCTCTCGGGCCTCCCAAGTATCTCACCCGGCGTTCTCTCCTTTCTCCAATAACTCGCGCCTTCGTTGCACAGGCGGCATCTCTGTCCGCATACGGCTAATAGAACCAACCGGGTCTGGCCGTCACACGAGCTCTTCACCACTCCCTCACGAAAATACTCCTACCACGTCCCATCACGGCTCTAGCCTCCACACCCATCCAGTACGGCCGCTCAGCGTTCCTGATGGTATTATCCCATCTGTCAGCGTCGGACAGGGTCCAGTCAATATCCGCGCGAGTAAATATGTGCTCCCATATCACCAATCGACTTGAAAAACCTCGGATCCACGCCAACCACCGTGGAGGGTCTCGCTACCCTCTCCTGCACAAGCCTACTACTGCGTCTCCATTTCTATACACATCAACGCTGTGGACTCTTGGAACGATCCGTAATCTCGCGACTACTTCTTCTCAATCTCGGAAGGCCACCACTCCCCTCTCTAGTGTCGGTTCAACCGCAATCTATATAACCATCACTCCACCTCACCCGAGTCCTCCTCCTCTACAACACGATATGTCTTCCTCACGAAAGCGTATCCCCACGACTGATACGTTTCGCCAACACCCACACTATCAGCGAAACAAGTCGCACGTAAGTCCTCGGCGCAGTCAACGGCGTGACGCCTCTAAGGTTTGTCTCGCACGATCCTATCTCGTATACTCGCCATCAATCTCTCTGTATCCATCTGTCTCCTTATCCTAACAATCAATCAGTTATCACGGTCCAGCCAAGTATCCACGGGCGCTAATCGGCCAAATCGACATTCAACAAACAACTCCCTTACTCCAACAAGGGTCAACCCCGCAGAGAACCCCCCGCAACCCAACTCAAAGCGAACAATCTAATGCAGAAATCTCAGGACACCAAGTGGGAATAAAAGAATCTCTCGCCCGCAACACCCTCCGTACAGACCTCTTCGTCGTCACTTCTCAGTACCCGAATACGGCTCAGAACTTACCGAGCCAAATACTCTCGGTCTCATAGGTATATTCCTCTCACAACATCCATGGAATCGATACTCTCTTGCCCGATCAATACGTCCCCCGCACCGAACTCAAAACAAATCTAATTCCCCCATACCCCCCCCCATCTAGGATTCATCGAGCGGTCTTGGAGCACCCCTTCAAACATAACCTATCCCGATAATACCGGGGCTCAACTCCCAGAAGGTTCCTACGCCCCAATCCCATCACTCGTCTCCTCGGCTACACTCCTCCTGCGCCTAACAATATGCATCACGCCAAACCGAGATCACACATCATCGTGGAACTCATCGGTTCCTCGACAAGACAAGTACGTATACATGCTTCCTCTCATTTCTCAACTCGCCCATACTCCATAAGGATCTCCGACGCTACTCCTCATCACGACTCTCCAATCGGGAGATGCCGTCATCATCCTCGAACGCAAGATGTGTTCCAACCCCTCCCCAGGACGCCCAGTCTCTATCCACCATTGACATCCCACCTCAGATCACCTGTGATCCCAAATTTCACCGGATAGTCCAGGACGAACACATATCGCTCTTAAGCCCCGTCGGCTAACTACTCTTGACCCCAACAGGCTTCATGGTAATCTACACTCCGGCCACGCATGTCCCCCTATCCAACGTCAGTTCAGGTCACATCCAGGAAGATCTGGTAACATCAGGGCCGACCTGACCACGCACCAAATCCCTACCAATCTCCCGCTCCTGTGCAGCGAAACGCCCTTCCCACTCATCGAACCTACGATCTTCCCTATCGTCCAAGCAGCACGCCAGCTAAATTTCTCACTACCCTTTCTATTCCGAAAGGCTCACGACTCCTACACTAAAATTCTCTTCGCGAGTCCTTTCGTCCGGCCAACATCTATCCGATCGCTCCGCGAAAATCTCACACCGAACCGGCATCCGTCAGACCTGCCCCGGTCACAAATCTCCTCCGGCCCAAACCAATCACAGGACTCTAAACGTCGACTCCCTCACGGCCCATGCAGTCTATCGGACGATCGACCATTTCTCACCCAATGAGCGTATTCCTCGGCAACGACCTATCGTTCTCTCGACTTCCACCCAATAGGCGGCCGCCCACCGCCCGCCAGACACGAAAACCGTCCCAATCGGTTATACCCTATGACTTATCTCGTCCATCGAACGCAATCACCCTCTCCCGTGAATCCTTAACTTGCTCAGCGTCATCTCCTAACCGGTAGCAGGAAACTCGGTCGGACCAAATATCGCTCCGGGCTCCTCAACCCCCCACTTCTCACTCCCAGACTCCGCCTCCCACGACACCCCTCACCGTCCCTCCCCTCTTACAAACGCAATCTCAACCGTACCCCAAGGAAAAGGCCGATAACAACCCACGCCTAGTCTTCCTGCACCAGCAAGCCATCCCCTCCTGTCATCCCCCCCGCAACTCCTCACATCGCCAAGAACCTTCGGGAAGACCACTCACGACACCAGACCACTCGGCGCTTAAGTACAAAACGACAGGCGATGAACGTACCCCTGTGCCATCGCTTCCACCCCCCTCACCACGCTCATACGCACGGCGCGGGGATTCCCCCAACCTCCAGATCACCTCGTTACAATAAATCTTCACCACAAAAATCGATCATTCGACAGCGCGGAAATCAATATCGCTCAGCTCATACTCCCATGACTAGCCAGTCCTACTCACTAATATGCCTTGTCTAGCCAGCCTACCCGACATCTCTGCCTCACTTCACGCTACCGGTGGGGATGAGGTGGTTAGTGAGGAGAGAGGATATGCTCACCGAGGAAGCGCGATACCCAAACGAATCCCTCTCGACGCAACAGCCACTCCCGCGTTCTCCAGTGCGTCTCCTCTCCTCTCCCGTCTCTCGCCTTCCCCGCCTCACTCGACAAAATTACTACGGGGATCGCCTCTCCTAGAAGCCGGGCGATCTCTCACCCATTCCTCGGCTCTCCAGGCAACTCAACGAGAGTGAAACCACACCTCCGTCATACTGCGTATCATCAAAGCTCTCCAGCACCGCCGCGACCCTCTGAGCTCAGTCTGCCAGCGGCAGACCCACCTCTGTCCAAACCCTTAATCTCCGTCTCTCTCCACTTCCCCGTTCACATCAAACTGCTCGTTAGGACCCCATCCCATCGAGCTCACAGAGGCGATCTCCCGGGTCTCCATGCGGATATCACGTCCCATCACTGTCCCCCCACGTCACATGTATACTCCCAGCCGTCCCAGTAAAATCAATCCGCAACCAGCTCACCGGGTCTATCGGAAGGACCTGTCATACCTCCCAAATATGAGCAACCGCCGGGCTTCCCCGACGTCTGGTACCCACACCTACCCCTACTCCTACATCAATCCCCAACCATTCCAACAGCGCGATACTCATGAGATGATTGCGTGTAGTGTTCACTGGAGTCGTACTCAATCGTTGCATCCGACTACAGTTAAACTCGGGTTCATCTCCCAGCTGGAGCCCGGATCTCCTCCACTCAACTCTCCCTATTTCTCCACAACAACCTCTCTCGATGACGCCTCGTTCATTCTTATCACTATCGGTTCCATCTGCTTCAATCCAAGTAGAGTCACCTCTATCACCCCCCCCTCCGCGATAGCCCCATTCCTCTCAGCCTCATCGTCCTAAATTAACCTCAAACGCATACCCACACGGGTCTCCATCGACTACCAACGTACCCTGTTCTCATCAGTCTCGGTTATCCAATCCCGTAACTCTCATGGATCCCTCTCCAGCCACAGTGCCATCGTCGACCATTCTCCATATCTCCAACGAAGTCACCCACACCTCACATCGAGCCCTGCTCACTCAAACTCCTCGGACAATCTCAGTTCGCTGAATCTCTTATCCAGCTCAGACACACCAATCCCACCAAAGCTGGGATAACCGATCGCAACCGTCTCAACCCCTCACCGTCTCGCACTTCAAAAACCACTGATCTCCGTACTAGGGGGCTCCGGCTCCCACTCAACTTCTCTATGCGCTCGGTCATCTCCTTATTAATCACGAGCACTCTTCGCCACGAAACAATCCACTCCCTCCTCCCGAAAGCTCGTGTGCCCTCACCATTCGGCACGTCGGGAGCTCCAGAACCGTCTCTTCGTCATGCTCCATATCAAGATGACTCTCTTCGATCATCTACTCATCCTCCATAACTCTCCTTACGTCCAATCTCACTCCCTCCGCACCGCTCTCCCATTCCTTCTTCCAAGTTCTCATCTCCCTTCTGACACTCATCGAAACTCAGATCCGTTACTCTCGACCTCTCGTCCGCCTCACACAGTTTCCAATCTCAGAGACGCTAATCTAAAGCCCCGGACGGTCTACTAAAATCAACGATCCTCCCACTCCACGCAAGGTCCTCATCTCCTCTTTATCAATCTCATAATGATTCGAACTTCGTCCCCACAAACTCTCACCCGAGAGGAAGAATCCAAACGTCCTCGCAGTTTCACTCCGCACAAGACTCTGGGTCATCCCGAATCAAGTAACTTCTGGAACCGAAGAATCCCCCAGGTCATCGATAATCATACTCTAGACATAGTCCTCCATCCCTGGACAGCTCTCGCCACTCTTTGTCCTCACTCCACTCACGTACTCATGACGGCTACCGTCAGACCCCTCGCGACCCAACACAGATCCATATGCCTCACCCCCTCTCCATCCTCATTGTCTTCCCTACTCACACAATTCCTCCTCCGCCACTCGACTCCTCTTCTCCTCAGCCCCTCTCAGATACCTCACACTCGGTCTCAAAAGTATCATCTCGAGAAATCCCTTCCGCGTACTTTTCATCGCAAATAACCCGTAATCCAAAAACTCCCAGTCTCCATACCACTCAGGACAACACGATCCACACCACGATCCCGGGGGGGGGGGGGGGGCCGTCATCAGCCTCGTCGCACAGTCCCTAAAACATACCGAATCTCGTCATCACATCCCTCTGTGCTATCTCCACAATCTCTGCTCCTATTCTTTCTCTCCCCAGTCACGAGGACCCGTCCTCCTCGCAGTACATATCCTACAATCCTCACTATAAACTTACCCTTCCACAGCATCTTCTGGGGACTCCAGTACGCCAGGGAAATGGTCGAAAAAAATCCGTGCATGGATCATACGAGTCAGAGTCGTCAAAACATCTGTCGCCGTCGTCCGTCCACCGCCTCCCAGCCCCATAGCCCCATTCTGCCTCATAACCCCATTACCCATCTCCACTCTCCTTCCCTACTCACAAGACCTTGGCACCGTCAACATACTCCCATCAACCAAATCTCTGAACACAACCCCATCACCAGAACTCCTCCGAATCACCCCGTACGCACTTGCGACACTCCCTAAGCAAACTCGAGCATCTCTCCTCTCGCTCCTCAAGTCGTTGTATCGGCACTTCTCCAAATGATAGTTTACTAACCATCCTCTCGGGCCCCATTCACTCATCCGGTCATTCCCCACCCGCAATCTCGCACTCTGTAAACCTGCCTACAAAATCCGAAAGATGACTCTACGAAGGAGCCACAAGTCCCTACGAACACCCTACTCTGTAACTTCTCTCCTCCCATCCGACTGTCTTCCCCGTCCTCTCGCCCTTTGTCGACCCGTCTCCCCGCGCTTCGGCCCTATACCTCGGGGCAACGCCAATTCCAATTCATCCCCACGAATCTTCTCACTCTCCAGATCCACAGCCGCGTATCGGAACGAGAACAGTTCACCTCTCCGGGACCTCTCCCCGCACACAAGACCCCAATCTCTACCAAGAGTGATGAAGGAACCAACGTCCCCCAGCCCCACATACATCTATCAACTAATATCAGTTAACGGAAAAGTCCGCACGTGCTCGGACTCGCTCCGTCGGAACCACCGTGCCCCTCCCGACGGCCGGACCGTCCTATACTCTACCAAAGTGACGTGAGATACCATTCCATGACCGCGCCCACTCGGCTCACAGAATCACAGAAGCTCGTGGTACTCCTCCAACGCCACTCAGCATCCACTCTGAGCCACGTCCACCACTAGGGGCGTGATACCGATGTCAACATCCAGCTCTCGCCCGACCGGTCCCACCGGTCCTCTTCGCATCACAACACGCACCAAGGGGCAAGAGTCCAGACTAACTCATACTCAAGGGGACCCCCCCGTCGCTTACGCCCCACCCTTCTGGACTCAACGACACTCGATCCCGCACACCCGCTAATCGCAAACTGGCCTCAACCCACCCCCCCCGCTCACTCTTACATCCTACATTCACACGGTACTCTCCTAACCGTCGAACTTATTCCTCCGAGCACTCCCCTCTCACCATCTCAAGCTAATTCGCCTGGCCACAACAAAACTCTAGGTCAACACTTCATCTGCGGTCACAACGCAGGACCTCATCAACCCTCCTACTTCTCTTCATACGCCTCCCATCCGTTCACTGAGCAACCCCTTCTCCCACTCCATATACCGGCCTCACGCGCAACGCAATCTTCCTAAACAGACCCCTGCCTACACATTCCGGCTCCGAAGAATACCCCAGGGTCGGCGTCATAACGTCGATTCGTATGGAGAGTGATACATCTCTCCTCGATCCTCCAAGGCGTCACTCTCATCAGCCTACGTCGACACAACGACTACTGTCTCGTAATCGCGAGTAGCAAATCGATCTCATTCTCCGAGACCGGAAGCTTGCCACGTCGATTCAACTGGAACGACCTTCACATGGCCCCCAAGTCCCGAACGTCTCATCCCCTCGTGTCCCAAGTACTCGAGGTCACACCCTCCCTCATACAGTCACTCCTCATCCCTCTCGCCTCTCTCCCATCCCTGCATTTCCGTACCGAACTATGCAATCAAACGGGGCCTCAACCTCACCCTCTCGAGGTCTCGAGTCTCTCACCATCGCCCCCGAACTCCCTCATCTATGCGTTCCAGGCCTCCTCGGCGTCCACCACTCCACTCCACGACCACCCTCCTCATCCCACAGCCGAGCTTCGTTACCAAATCCTATCATCTTAACATTATCACCAGCCAGTCTATTCAGCACATCGGGACACCTCAACTGGGGCCTCCTCCCTTCGGTCGCAACTACGGATCACACACGATACTTGCGCTAATCAACTCCAAGCCGACCGATATCCCAAAATCAACACTCCTACTTCCCTCTCATCTCATTCCCCGTATTACAAACTCCCGGATCGACGGAACGTGCAGGACCATTCGAAAAAATCGATTCTCAATCACACCTACATCACCGTCTCTAATCCATACACCAACGGCCCTAATCCCCCCACATCAATCGCAGAACCAGTCCAATCACTCGACAAACTCGACTCCACGTACATCCCGGGATCTCTTCGCGAATCATGTCATCCCCCATCCAACACACTCTCTACGCCACTAACGCGAGAAGACACTCCCCCGAGCTCAACTAAACGCTTCTCGAAAGCTCCAACTCTACAAACCCGTATCTGCTGCAACACTCCCCACAAGGATCCAACTCCACCGGGGGACCACGGACTGCCTCAAGGTCTAATCCCGCAAATCGAGATTGCCTAACCATCCTCACAAGCAACTCTCGCATTGCTCCGCTCGGGGAAACACTCCCTCCGACTCCTAGGACAATCCTGCCACATCAGGCCTTATCCCAATGCGCACGACACGCCTGCGGGAATATCCGACAATCCTCTGGCCCAGACTTCTGGTCACATACAGGCATACAACCTCTCTCATGTCCAATCAGGCGTTCCAACTCTCCTTCCGTATCAGACAAGCCCACGCCAATAACTGCATCTAGACTCGAAGCCAGAGCTCGTCTCATTCTCACGTACTCTCACCACCTCTGAACTCAGCTCGCTACAACTCGGCCGCAACAGTTTTCACCCCCCCAATCTCTGAGCCTCGTCAGCTTCTAATCCTTCTCCACCCAAACGAGCCCCACGGCAGGTCTAAGACATCTCTAAAATCGATCATCACATCGAAACAAAAAGCCCAGGGCCTCAAGTCAAATCCCCCCCCGTCACCCGACATTCCACAATACCCTCTCGGACACCACAATCTACTAGCTCCCACTCATCTCTCTCACATTCGAAAGAGCGCACCCCACTCGATCATTCTCCCGCCCAACGCCCCTTCCTCCCCAATCTCTCGCCCCACTCGCCTCCTCGGACACGCAGCGCCTTCACATCCTTCTCTACCTTTCTCTACTCTCCGCTCCAATCTCTGTCCACCAACGGAAACCCCCTCAAGACTCTCTCCCTGACTCTTCCCATACCTGCTGCTCGGAACAGAGCTACAACTCCCCTCGTTATCCGCAAAACGGAACAACACTTTCCCAAACTCGATCATATCCCCTCGCCTTCTCGCCCCTGGTCCAGTCCTCCATACGTCTCACGAACTGCCACGGTCCGAGATCAATTCCCTAACCTACCGCACCAGCCTTAGATAAATCACCTCGTCACATCTTCCCTCCCGCAACATCAAGTATAGAGCGGACCTCCGGGGAACACCGGCTCAACCATCGGCTCACTAGAGCCCATCCCCCGGACCCTGTTCAATCTCCGCTACCAGACCTCACATATATATATCAATCACACACAGGTCGCCAGACTAACCACACCACAGCTACCTGCTACTCCATCTCTCGCATCCCTCCCAAATCTCACTGAGATCGTATCTTCGGGCATATCAACATCGCATTCTATATCGAGAGCGCCACCCCCGCCAGTACCGCTGGCAGCAGACTCCCTCTCCATCTCAACGCTCCGCCCGCACCTCCGTCAGAATAATCTTCGGTGGTCCGTCCGACGTACAAGCAACACAAACCTCTCACAATTCACTCATTCAAGACCCTTGCTCCCACCAGCCGAGTGCCAGCCCGACCTCCGGACGCACTCAAATTCGTTCTCGTCGTCCCCACCTGGAGCCTCCCGAAGCAGCGTCCCCCCACACTCAGTCACCTTCTCTCCCCCCAACATAACTGACGTCGGACCATCGCGATCGATTAATTCGCAGATTGCATCTTCCCCCTCAAACCACCGATCGAAACGCGAGACTCTAGGTCCTCGACGCCAACTCCGCTCCGTCATACTCAGCATGGGGAGCGGGTATTTTGTGAGGGAACCTCGCGACAACACCCGTCATCTAAATCAACTCACTCATCACCACCTGCTCAGACTTGAAACCGCAGACAAGACACGATCAAACTCTCTCTCCCTTGCTTCTCACGATACTCGGGGGGGGGGGGGCTTCCCCATCCTTATCCCCTTGCCTTACCTCAGGGAACTCTATCTCTCGACGCCACAGTCACCACCCCGATCGTCCCTTATGCTTCATCGGCAGTCAACTCCCATCTAACAAAGCGTTGTAGTCTATCTGCTCCGCCTACGTCTCGGTCGTAGCCCGTGCAGCAGCCACCTCCAACCGGCTCGCCGTCAGGCGCAGCTCACTTCCCTCACCCCCCGTACGTACTCCATGTCGGCAGAGTTCATCACCGTTTTCCTCTCTTCGCATGACTGATTTTCACTCCTCTTCCACCACGCGTCTCCTTTCTTCACCACTCCAGACGCATCAAAACGGACAGATCATCTCAACATCCCAGGCCCACGCATACAACAGCTACCTTTCCGACTTCATCATCCTCTCCAGTCGCAAACTCACCTCTCACAGCTCTTCCTCTCGCTATCCCCATCCACAACCGGTCCCGGATACTCCACGCACCGACATAAAACGTCGCTTAACTTCCTCTCTCTTCACACCACGACGTTCACTCCCAGTCCAAACCAAACCCATCACCTCGATGACTCTCACCGCCGACAGTACCTACTCCTGTACCAAGAAGCCAAGCCCCTCACCTGAGGCTCTCGCGTCCCAACGTCCTCAGCCCATACTCCAGTTAAAACTCCTTACTCAGACCATCCCCGATCCCCCTCTCCGCACCCCAACCCACAAATCTCTCCCGCCCCCTCCTGCAACTACTCCACTGCAGCCTTCCTACCCATCCCGCCACGACTTCACTCTCCCTCATCACCCTCCCGCCCCACCCCCGTTCATCTCGGTCACCGACACTCCATCCATGCCACAAAGCTTCCCTCTTCTCCTCCGTGTCTAGGGTCCGCAACCATCAATATCAGCCCTCTCTCCCTTCACTCTCATTCTCATCATCTCCCTCATCGTTCCCCGACAGTTCTCTATCTCGATCGCCCATAAAAGACTCGACACCCTTGCTACATACGAGCACGCTGCTAAGGAAACTCACCAATCAGTACTACCACCACTTCGACTCAAACTTCGCCCTTTCAAACCATGCAGTCGCACGTCAACATCAACCGAAAATGGCAATCAGGCAAGTCTTCTCCGAGGATTTAACTCTCTCTGCCTCTGTCCAGCACCCTCCTCACTTCCTCTACATCAGCGACTTCTCCACCCCACTCGTCCAAAGCTCCAACCATGTTCACCCCTGAATCCCTGAATCGTCATCCTACCTTCACCCCCTCATATAGCATCCAAGGCACACTCATCCCGTCATCGGCATGTCCGACCCCGACGATCGCCATCTTATCAGTGATCATCTGTCTCTTCCGTCAAGCGGACAGAACCTCGACTCAAACCATCTAGGCGGTTGGTCATCACACCAAACACCTATCTCGAGTAGAAACTCCTCGACAAAGGAGCGACAACCGGGGGTGATTGAAGGGCTCAATCCCACACCTATCTCCAAATTCCACGACATAACTCTCTCCACACTCAACTCGGCCTCCTGATCAACGTCAATCGCTCTCGTTCGTCCATACTCCCGGCATCACCTCGAAGCCTCTACTTCCTCTCTAACCTCCGGCTCCGTCACAAGCAAGAGGAGAGACTCAAACATCGGGCCCGACTCCCCTCCACTGCATGTACCCACTCCGTCAAGCAAGATCCACTTCGGACGTTTCAAGTCTCATCTCGCCGAGCTTACTCTCACTGGCGTTCTCTCGACACGTCCGCTGCTGCTTCCAACACCATCTCTCACGCGGAACACTATCAAAGCCACTCTCCACGGCCCTTCTCTCCCCCTCCATCCTAATGCGCGGCTAACAAAGCCCGTGTCATCCCCCTCCAGCCGTCACGCTCCCGATCGACCTACCTCCTAAAGCCACCGCCCAATCCCCTCCCGCCAGGCCCAAGTGAACGTCAAAGAAAACCATTCGAGTTCATCTCCTCTCCCCAAACACACTCAGGAGCTCACTTACAAAACTCGACTCTCTCATCCACTACTCTGTCGATCTCCGGGGCTCACGCCTCAAAATTGGTACCTCTTCGACCCAAAGCCTCTGTCGCTCCCCGCACCTGTCTCCTCGCAATTCCCCAATGACTCCCACTCCATCATCACCCCATCCGTGCTCTCTCAGAAAAACCATCCTCAACCACTCCACCTAACCAGAACTCCCCCATCTACCCTGTCCCGGCAATAATGTACTAGTCGCCACATGACACCCCCCGGTCTGCCCTCGGCATACTCCTTCCCTCTGTCTTCCCGTCACTATCCCCTACCCCCCCCTCCCCTCTTCCATTACTTTCCCCTCGACACACACGTCTCTTCAAACCCGACGCCACACAATCGAGAAAGGACCTCCACTTCATAAGCTTCAACCCACTCTCAACCCTCTCTAAGCTTCTCAACTCTTACGTATTAGAAGAGACTCGGCAAATGGCTCCACGCCACGCCAAAACACATCTCCACTCTGTCCCATATCCCACTCACCCAACAGGGCTCCGCTCCTGTCCGCGCTCCTCCGAACCATACGTCGGCAAGTTATCCCCGGGCATCCTCGCACGGCTCCAATAAAGTCCATAAGAACCGTCTCAGCTTCTCGTTATCACCAACTGCATCTCGATCCAAATCCCTAAGCCAACTCCTACCACCGTTGTCTCCTCGAGTACCTCTCTCCTACCTCTCGTTCCGACAACTTCTGCTGACAACTCTCAAAACTCCTCTCACACACACTTATGATTACCACTATCCGGAATCCATGTCTCATCACCGCTTTCTCCCCTACTCAATCGCTACCACCATACTCCGTCCTCACCATCTCGTTCAATCAGCTCGAAAGTGCGAACACACCATAGAACTATCACACCTCCTCTCCTCTCAAAACACAACCTCTTCCAATCTCTCCATCCCACTTCATGATCTCAAACCGACATAAACCGCTCCTCTCATACCGTCGTCGATCTCACAAGTGGGGTAAATCAACTCACACTCGCTTCGAATCTGCTCCACGACCTCCGCACATCTCTCCGCTCTCGATACATTGCCCTCAACTCAAACTATCCGATATCTCTCTCGTTCCCCGCATTCACAACGTCCCTCTTCTCAGAGGCAGGCTGTTTTCCACTACGGTCCATACTCTCTTCACTCACTTCCAGCCCTCCCAAACTCACCTTCTTCCCCCTCCTCATTCCTTGTTCTATAAATCTCGCGATCGAGAACGCATATTGCCTCCCTCGCTACGGCCGCATCCTTCTCCTCCTCCCGGAGAGCACTCTCATCCACCGTCTCCCAGCAATCTCTCATCATCTCATCACTTCCTCACTCATATACGAGCCCGTCACAGATCAGCCAACGTACACTCTCTCGTCCCGGGTGCCCGCCTCCACCAAAAGCCTCTGCTCCCGCCACCACGATTCCTCACTTATCAGTCCCCCAGGAGCATGCCAAGCCCTCTCTCCCCTAATCCCGCAGCTCCTCATCACAACCATCCTCCCATTCCCTTCTCAGTATTCATCGTCTAGACACTTCCACAAAAACGCTTCTCGGTCCTCGGCTCTCCCACATCTCCCACGGTCATACTCCGCCTGGTTCACCAACCCATCTTCGTGCGCCGCCCTCTCCCCTCCTCATTTCTTCAGACCGACTCCTTCGCGTCAATCCCCATCACTTCCGTTCATAAATCACCTGTCAACAGCGGCGCAGGGATTCACACAGCCGTTCTCCCAAACTCCATCTCACCCACGATAACCTCCTCCCTCTCACTCAGGTCACGGTCACTTTACCTATTTCTCAACCTCTAAAGTCTCCTACTATCAGTCCCCAACGCTTCAAGTTCACTGATTCTCCACTACCGACTTCTCTTCCCCAGTCTTCCCGTATCTGAGTCTCCTCTGATCTCACTCCACTGTCCCTTTTCCCGCTCTCCCCGATAGTCGTGCTCCTACCTCTCGTAAATCCTTTTTCTCGCAAGGCTCCATTCTCCTCTGACTCGTCCCGGCTACTTCACCTGTATAACCTCTCCCCACCCTGAATTCTGCTCTCCACGTCTCCCGTCATCGATCCCTTCGACCCTCAATCTCTGTCTATCGTCGCAACTCTCTTCTAACAAATCCCTATGACAGAGGTCCAAGACCTCCAGTCCCTTCTCTAGTTCTTGTGCTATCTTCATCCCCAGACTAAGTCCTGTGTCATCTTCGATACGTCTAAGATCGTCCGGACCTCGTAATTCCATATGCTCTATAAGCTCCGTACATCCCGGCTCTGCTCGTCCAAGAAGGGTAAAACCCGCTAATGTCTCTCATCTCGTGGCTCGCCTCTCTCACCCCGTCCAGTCGTCGAGGGAGTCGGCACTCAAATCTCTCACACTCATCATATCCTCACCAATCACGTCCAGCCGGTGAAAATTCCCTCCTAACCGACTTCTCATATACCCACATCTCTCGTCTACTCTCTCTCTCACCTCTCCTCGTCTCTCCACAACAGCCACTGGTCACTCCTTCCACGCCAGACTATTTCCTCTCTCTCTACTAACCGAGGCCCTCAATATGACCTGCATATCCTCCACTACCTTCACTCTCCTCGTCCAGTACTTCTCAGGCTTCAGACTCGGCAATATCTCGCCTCTCTTGATATCGTACCTCCGCGAGACCGACATCGCTCATCTCATCCATCCCCCTTCCTCCTCTCAATAATCCACGGTCGACCTCTCTCGTTAGGTCCCCCCTCCCACTCCAACCGTGTTCCCACCTCTTCACTCTCACTCGCGGCTAGAATCTTTCTGATCCACCTGTACCTACTCATCAAATCACATCCTGACTCATATCCCTCCCTCTTAGTCCCGCTCCTGGCTCTCACCAAAACTTCAGTCATTCGTTCTTCCACCTCTTCTACCTTCCGAGGGATTCGATATCGATAAGCTCCGCCCCCCTCGCCCTCGTCGTAATAATCCAAACCAACCTCGAAAAAGTACCTTCCTCACACCCGGTCCTCGATCGCTAAGCGTTCAAAAAATCGACCCTCTGCCGCCCTCAACTCATCGGCGTCACTCGTCGTTTCTCCTCTCCCCTCATAAACTCGTACCAACCCTTCTCCACGCAACCATCAAACCACCGGTTCATCCCGGATCGCGAAGTCTCATCGGCCGTCTCCAATCACCACACCCTCAACCCACCACAAACACGCATCTCTCCACGGCCCCTCCGTTATCCCGATCACTCTATGTCATATCTCTACGCTCTCAATATTTCCACATCATCAATCACTCTCCAAATCTCTCAGGATAACTCCGGGCTCCATCTAATCCACGTCTCTAAGTCTCCTAGCTCACAACGTCTCGCGTAGGCGCAAGGCTCTTCTCGCACTCTACCCTCTCGCTTCACAGACCACGACATTCAATCGGGGCAACATCCTGCCAAGCGCCTCTCACGACCACTCAACAACACTCGACACCACTCCCAAAAATCCCTCACTCAATCTCGCGAAGCTCTAGCCTCAACTCCGCCTCGCGGCCCCAACACATCTGGAGCGCTTTTCGAATCGTCTTTCAACTGACTCCTACATGGAAATTCAACTCGCTCCAAAAACCGCCTCTCTCTCAGCACAAATCATTCGGTCCCTACAATGGACCTACTCATTCACCAGCATAGCTCACATCCTCTCTCCGTCGCCACCGCCGCCAACAGCAGCTCCAAAAAAGTCAAATTCGACTCCACTGCGATCGTATCCTAACCGAACCCCCACTCTCTCTCTTTGTCGATGCCTGGCGATTCACATCTCTTCACCGGTCGTATCTCGATTCCAGCACTCTCTACGTCCCACACTTCGTGCCTCTCTTACAGTCTCCCACCCCAATCACAAAGGATACTACTTTCGCAGACTGCAAGAACAATGCCGACGTAATTTCAGAAATGTCTAAAAACCTATAAGTAGGGAAAGATCCCTTCGACCGCTACAACACTCACAAGAATCCCTCATCCCTGCAGTATCCCCAAAAACTTCTCACTCTCTCGCCTCGCTCCTCGAAGTTAAACACGAACTCTCATCACTCATCGACAACTCCAACGCCTCACCCATGTCTCGATACTTCATACCCATTCTCTCATCAGGTCTAACTCCTCAGAGCCATCTCTCGCTCCACTCGTCGATCATCTCACATTCGTCTACCCGTCGGAAGTCGCTCGCCCAAACGGTTCTCCTCCACCGAGTCTCTCCTCAGAATCTATCGCTCCATCTCGTCCGGAACCCAAACACTCCACCTCTCCTCCCTCTCCCATCTCTATTCGGACAATCCTCTCAAAGATACTCCCTTCACGATCACGATAACTCTCAAGGCTTCCCAGTCGAAGCACAACGCGAAGCGGCGCTCACTTCTAATCCTTATTCGTCCATTCAAGCACTAGGACCACTCTCCCATTCATCCTTTCCGGCAATCTCTCCTCGCCACGTCAAGAACGCAATCACGGACCGGTTCAAAACGTCCACTCTTGAGCGTCCATCGATACTTAAGTATCTCAGCGTCGCCCTACCCCAGACCTATGAACTCATCCCTAACTTCAAGGGATAACCTCAAATAGATCTCATCCGGTTCGAGTGTGATGCTATCTTCTCTCACGATGGACGGAATGCTCGCGGATCCTTCCAATCTCGGCCTCAGTTGATGACAAGCTAAAAATCGGTTTCACGGCCTCCCTCCTCTATCGTGGTTCCTCCTATCCTACGATATACAACTCAAGTCTCCACCAGCTAAAGAAGGTCATCACTTCAATCAGATCCCTATACTCCGAACGCCCCTCACCAAACGACGCTTAGTCACACAACAGACAATCAGGAAATGACCACTCATCTGAGCAAACATACAGCTCTCAACTCAGTGCCCGTACATCGCTCTTCTCATCCTCGTAACCTCCACTCTAACCATTCTCCGTCTGGTGGGCCGGGGTGGAGCATTGCTCACGCGTGGATGTTGGCGTTCAGTGGGAACTGTGCGAGCGCCAGGGAGTGGGGCGCTCCGTACAATAGGGGGGGGGGGTGTCGGTCTCTCAATTCGTCAACCATCACCTCCTCGAGTCTTCCGTGCACCAGTCTCTACGCACGCTGTTCCTTTCACCGATTTCCTCCGGAAGTATCCTCGATCTTCAAATTTCTCCAGGGGGTCACGGCTGCCTTCCTTCCCTCCCGCACTCAACATCTGTACCCATCAACATCATCCCTCTCACTGCAGTCAATGCAATTCTCTTCTCCTGGTCAGAGATGTATATACGGCAACCTCCAACCCTCCCCCTCCGAAACCCTCTCAGGACGAGCGGTCCGCTCGCTCTCTCTCAATACCACGCACATCCAAATCCCTCTCCTCAGAAGCCTCTCTACCTACTCCCGATTTTCGAATCCTCCAACCTCGTACAGCTCCGACCTCTATTACAATCCATCCTCCCCGGCTCTCCCTATCTCCTTGGCGCATTCATCTTAATATCGTAGACTCCCGCATGTCCGGTCGCAGACTGCAATCTACACACGCGAACTGCGACCCAGCAACTCATTCTCATTCTCCAGCCTTCTCACGTGCCCATCGCCCGCGCCCTCCTATTCACCTCAGTCTCTCAGAAGATCATCTACCATTCGCTCCAGATCAGTCCTCTAGCTCTAGCTCTCACTCGCCATCCACCAAGTCTCGTAACGATCTCAGTCTCTCCTCTCACCCACTCCTCGCGACCTCCTCTCAACTCCCCTCTCGTCCTCCGTCACCTCGCCTCCTCTCACAGATCCTCTCTCCTGATCATCTCCGAATCATTCACACTCAAACCCCCACAATTTCCCTGTCCCCTCCGTCAACTGACACCTCTCTTTCGTCAACATCGAAATCTCCTTCATTATCTCTCTCTCCCAGCCCAGATCCCGGTCTCACCGTGCCACGAACATTCCTCTCCAGCTGTCAGATACTCTCATCTATCCTATCGTCGAACTCTCCCAACGTACTCGTCTCCACCAGGGTGGCAATTACCAGACCCCTGAGTCCACCGTCGTCGCCTCCTCGAATCCTCACTTCCGTCGTAAACTTCCCCGGTACTCCTACAATACAATCCGCGCACTCAACGCTCCTCTCCTCCTCGGGTATGGCACTCTCTGCCCCCACCAACATCCATCAGACAGGTACTCCATCGTGATCTTTATCACTTCCGTCTCCTGTCTCGATTCTATCACCATCAATTGTCCACCCTCAACGCGAGATCTCAGTCACTTCTCACTCTCTCGCATGTTCGCCTCCCCAATCGACTCGCCGCTCCTATCCTTCCTCACTACTCACCCCCTCCTGATCGAATCGCATACCAGAGCAATCCATCTCCGTCTTCGTCCTCGCTCCACATCAATGATCGCGAAGTTCGTCAAACTCACCCTTTCTCTCACATGCCGGATAACAGCTTCTACGTGATCCACCCTCCTCATCACTCCTCGCCGTCTCCTAGGCATCCTGTCCCTCCATGAGCTGCTCTTCTTTCTCTCCTCCTTTCACGCAATTGCTCACTCCTAACTCTACTCCTGTCCGTCCTCGCTCATCGCTCCCAACTACTCCATATGCACTCACCTCTAACTTTCTACTCTGTCTCAATCTTCACCAACCTCTCTCAATGACTCTCCCAGCAAAAATACGAAAAAACGTGAGGAGATCCAGTTCTCATCTCATCCCCCGCGTCCCTTCTTTCCGTTCAATCACCGCAGTGTCAAATATCCCCATACCTCGCCTCTCTCCAGTCCTACCATCAAAGCGCAATCTGTCTCATACCGAATCTGTCGCAACGTGCCCCTCTCTCTACTCCGGTCTTCTTATCTCTGTACGCCAGCTCCCTAAGAGGAATCTTCTCTAACTCACGACCCAATTTCAGAGGGTCAGCTCTCTAGCATCAAAGGACCCTCTCCACACGTTTTCTCAGCGGGCATCAGCCATGCTCTCCCAGCAATCCTACGTCTCCTCGAACCACTCGCTTCCCTCTCGCTTCTCCGCGTTCCACTTCATCACAACCGCGCATAGAAACAACCCCACTCCTCACATCTCCATGATCTGTCGCAAGGTCAGGTCTGTTCGGTCACGTCACATCCATCAGTCTCCCTACCCACTAGATCCCGCCCCTGTCCCCCCCTCACCCACCGTCCGCACCCACACACTCCTCGAGTCACGCCTCACTAAATAACTCATCCTCTACATCGCTCGACTCGTTATCTGCTCGAACACCTATGAGGGATCAGTACCCAACCCTCATCCTTCTCTCCTCCGTAATTACGAAGCTCGTCCTGGAAGAACTACCGGTCACCCTCACTAACATCCTACCCCATTGTCCCGTCAAAACCATCACACTTACTTCATCCGCGAAACTACATCCCGTGCACGTAGCCTCCTCACTCACCCCACTCTATCTCGTCGTACATAAACATCTCATCATCTCCCTCACATCCGGAACACGCTGTTCGATCCACTACACACTCTACCATGACTGAACTCCCGTACTCCCGGCAATCATATGCATTCTCCGATCTCGCGGTTCCAGCTCCACTTCAGAGCTCACATCCTATACGAACTCACAACAGGACCCAAATAACGGTCTCTCAGGTACGACAGTCTATCTCCCAACATCTTCCTTCTCTCTTGAAGGTCTTCTTTATCCGCTCAGAATCTCTGCTCGCTCGTCTCTCCATCTACCTCCCGGGCTCGTCACTCCCTTGACCTCCAGGATCCGACCAGGCGCCGGATCGTCTCTCAAATCCAACTCTCAATACACAGCCTCTCACCCAGCACCACAAAAACACGTATCAGTCCGCAACAGTTCCATCCAGTCCACGACTCTCTCTATCGTGCTCATGTCACTACGCCCAGACGTTCATGGGGACTCTTCCACTACCCCGCAGCGTTTCCCTCATCTCACTCGTCACGGGGACATCCGATCAACACACTACGTCCCTTCCCAAAATGACACACACGTCTTTCCTCGTATCAAACGATTACTCTTCAGGACGAAACTCTGTTGATCTGCAGGTCAATCTTCATCCTCAAATGTGACCACATATCTTCCTTCACTCCTCTCAGACCCTACGTATCCAAGGAACCCGGTAATGATCCCCCACATACCAGGCTATCTCCGCACCTCCGACTCTCCAATCACTCACCACAGTTCCAAACCTCTCCAATCCATCTAACTCTGCTCTCCTGAGCGAGACATCACAACAGCTCCCTCAACTCTCTCCCAGTCCTCCGTCTTTCTCTCCGCCTCACCAAGTCCCTTCTGACTTTACTCAACAGAACCCATCCCCATCGCTCACTGCCCCTCTTCTCACAATTCCACTCAAAGTCGACCTTATGTCATCACAGAGCCTCCTTCTCCACCTCTGTCAAGGGCGCCGGTCTTCCATAATGCCTCCTCCGACCGTCGGAGCGCCTCGTCTCATCTCGCTCACTCTCACCCTTCCTGACTGTGTCACTCCATCGTCTCCTGAAATCACGTATTCAACCTCTCCTATCTCGTAGTCTCCTCGTCATACTAAACTCACGAGAACCCTCGAACACGCAACCACCGAACATCCGGCATTCCTCGCCTACTCACCCGACCGGTTCTACCTACTCTATCTCATAATTTCTCAGACCTCTTCGTCAAACACAGCGCTGTCAGCGGGCCTCACAAACTACTCCGATAGGTCCGCAAGAGTACTCTCCATACTCACACTCGCGTAATCCGTCCAATCTGACAATCAAGCGGAAACTCTTGACCGTCCTCACAACCCTCAATCCCGGTCACGCTCTATCTCAAGTCGCCTACCTCTCTCGATCCCACACTCTCCTCCGACAAGTGGTATGGCCAGAGGCCTATTCTCAACGACCCTCCCTACACAATCCACCTTTCCGTCACCCCTCTCCTTCTCACAATCACTCTCCTCCTCTCATCTACGCACGCCTACTCCCGGGCCTATCTCTCCATCATTCGGGGAGTCTTCTCCGGGTCCAATCTCCTCTAACTCAGGCTCCACGCTCTCTCGTCTACCGTCAGGAGCCTAATGTCTCCCCTAGATAGAACCCGGCCGCACAACATCGACTTCGTCACTAGGGCTCCTCCCTATATTTAACTCTTCCCCCTTACCACGATCCCTCACTCCTCTGCCTGTCAAAACCAACCCCACTGCTCTCTGCTCACAGTCCGTTCTCATCAGAACCGATCTCGAAATCTCTCTATCGACTCTCTCCACCTACCCATCTCGCTACACTCATTCTAAAACACTCGCTTGGCATCTTCTCCAGCTAATTCCAACCATTCCATCTAAGAACGCCCCACTACAGAAATTCTCGTCCTCCTATCCCTCTCTCCAGTTCCGAAAACCCCCTCCTCTGCGTCTTCCAATCTCCAAAACCACCGTTCCTCTCTCTCACCTCATCTCCGGTCCGCGATCCACTCCACTAATGCCAAAAAAAGCACACAGGATGGTGCGCTCCACCGCGGCAATCTCGACAAACGTCGGTCAAGATGGTTACCTTCATACAACTCTACCCTCCGCCTCTCCCCCTTAACTCACAACTGACATCAGGGGACTTGTCTCGGTACTCCTTGATCCTCATCTTCCCGTTCCCAGGCAAACTACACTCTCCCCTCGCCTACTCCACCTCATACTTCAACCATTCTAGCATTTGGCTCTCAGATCCCAGTCCCCGTAATCGTCACACCAACGCGTCCTTCCAAAGCCACTCCAGTCCTCCACCGTACGCGCCGACTCAGACTCTTTCTTAGTCACATCTCTTTCTCTGTCACAGGCGCTCTGACCCCGACTCATTTCGCTCGAGCTCTCTCTGCACCTCTCTATCGCAACTATCCCACGGCCACGCCCACCTACCAATCTCCCTCGCCCTCCCTACATCCTCATGCAACCGCGCAAATGCTCAGGCCTCGGCACGTCTCCCAACTTCCAACTCCGCGGGAAACAGCACTCTGTGTTCTCAATCTTCATCATGTCACGCTCGAGTCACCCATCTACTCCGTCCGGGCTGCTCCATCCGTTCCACGATCCTCTCCCGTTCACTCATCCGAATGAAGATCGCACTCTCACACATCCAAAACTCACTCTATCACTCTCGACGTCCAAATTCCGCTCATCCACCTCTACTGGTTCTCTCCTATAGTATCGTCTCACATTCTCTCCAATCTCGAGCTCTCCTACTGAACTCCTTTCAATCTCAGAGGTCACCCTCCGCTTCTCTCATCATATCTCGTCGTGTCCACGATTGCCCTCCCTCTCTCATGCCGCACGAGAATCACCCCATCTTCTAACGGCTCCAATCTCTTTAGGAATCTGCTCCACATATCTGATCAAAACACATCACTCCGCGGTATTCGAATGCACTCCATTCAAACCTCTTTCACTCTTCGATCTCAATCCCATCAATCTCGCTCCAACAAGCTCTCGGCCTTATCTAGCTCTTCCCATCTCCCAACATCCAGTCTAACCTTACCTCCTCGGTCGTCTCGCTCCTCTCCTCAAAAACTCATTCTCATAGTATACCGAAGACCCTCCATCGTCTCTTCTCGATCTTCTCAAGCCACACCCCACCTACACAGACCCCAATTCCGCGAGTCTCACCGCGATTCGCTCCCGAAATCCATCTTACGCTCTCGAAGCATGTCATCACTTCAAAATCTCCTCTCCTTCACGTATCCTCGGCGTCATCCCCTCCGTTCCGAGACACTACTCATCTCCTCTCCACTCATGTCTACTCTCCGTGCAACTCTCCATCTCCTCTCCCCACACCTTGGTCGACTCATCATCACACGACTCACAAATCGTCGAACACTCGCGCCTCTCCCCACGATCTCTCCGTCATCTCCGAACTACATCTCTTCAATCGATGTCATCAGCTTCAGTGTCAGCTCTCTTCCGTCGGCCACTGTAACCTCAGATCCCACCACAAATCTCTCACCATCTGCCTTCGTCCTCCTCCACTTGACTCGGGTCATGTCAGGAGTCGCTGGGGCATTCCTCCCACATCACTTCTTCTCGAGAATCACCATAAAGGACCCGGTCATACCACTCTCTCTCTACACTATATTCTCTCCATTCAAGTCTCCAAAAGCACTCACGGATCTTCTAGGCAACTCCCTGTCTCGAAAGCATGTCGACAACTCAGTCACTCAGTCTAAGTCACTTCGTCTCCATTCACGAACTCCAGGTCACCATCGCGTCTCATCAGTCGGGGTCTCACATCCTAATCTCTCTCATCACAGCATCCTCTCTCCTCCCTCCGCACTCTCCTCTCTGCCCTCCATCTCCTCTCCGCCCCTCCCCACACAACGGAATCTATCCATAACCCATCTCATTTCCTCGGGTTTCCTCCTCCACTCTTCTTCACACCCTCTAAGCAGCACTCCACAAAGCTCGCTTCCCAATCTCCTCAAAGTCACATCCTCTCTATGCTCTCACGTACCGCGAAACACCCACTCACTCAAGGATTCCCTTACTACTCGTGCAAACTATAAGCTCCCTCTGACCACCGCACCTCGAAGAATCATCCCGGTCGATCTCCTCTCCGCCCTCCCCTCCTATCTCCCATGTCCTCACCGGCCCACTCTCTCTCCTCCGACGTCCTCTGGTACTCTGAATGAAGTCCAGACTCCCGGTTCGGTCTCCTCTCAGAATCTCCCTCCCAATTCCCGTCTTCATCTCCTTCTCATCGTCACACTCCTCATTCCTCACTCGAATTCAACATCGTCTCCATCAGACCCTCTTCACACTTTCCACAGGATCTCCCAGGAACCATAAACTCCCCATGAAAGATCACCTCTCCCTCAATCGGGCATCTCACGCCAATCTCCACGGCAGTTCGATCTACTCTCCTCCTCACGACGCTATGTCTTACTCTACCGGTCTCATCTCGTCCTTCCTCACCCCATCTCCATACCATCACTCTCCCCACCGCAAATCCATTCTCATCACAACCGAGTCTCTCCTTCCCTTCAATCGCAATCCTCCACATCACTACCGACAGGTCCAGTCCTACACTCTCTCTCGTATAAGCCTCCCCCGATCAACCTTCTCCTCATCCTGCCTAACTCGCATTTTCTCTCCCGGACCGACATATCCTCGACTCTCAACTCCCTCACTTCAAGACTCTCTGCCCTCGCCGCCCTCCCGCCGCCCCTATCGCTACACCTCCTCTCTCTCATACGAAACTTTCATATAGTCCTCTCCACCAAATCTCCTCTCACAGTTGCTCGGCCTCCCTTGAGGGTCGCTCTTCACTCTCTATCCTATTAATGCATGCTCAGACTGCCATCACTTGCGTCCGTCTCTACCCGCTCCTCACCTCTCGATCTCTCATCCCTCGCCTCAATAGCATACGAGTACGCTCAAGACGCATCTATCTCGTGGGCTACACAGAACTCAGTTCCAAACGACGGCTCACTCAACCTTTATTCTCGGTCCCTCCTTCCGTATCTCGTCATGCGACATCGACCCTCGTCCTAACTCCCCAATCTCCCCCCCGTGTCAGTGTTCGCTTCTCGTGTTCCGGAAGACATCTCACCTCCACTCCTCTCGCGATTCACTCACCGGTCCGGACGTACTCGAGTTCTGTCCCTCTGACGTACATCGGAAGCCTCAAACTTCTCGTTTCTCCTCGTGCGATCGCGTGCACACTCGCTCCTCTCCCAAATCATCCTCGCACCAAGTTTCTCGGGTACAAAACTCAAGCCCGCAATGAACTAATCGTCCCGTTCACTCGCTCAACTCTCGCGACCGAAATCGTCCCTGACGGGAATCGAACTCATGCGCAACTCTCTCTTCCTCTACAAGGATGTCTACACACCAACTTCCAAGGTTACACTCCTCACTCGTTTCGATCACACTACATCTCCCCTCAACGACTCCATGCCCCTCTCCTTCACTCGGCCTTCGCCTCAAAGCCGACTCTCATCTCCCTCTCCCCGACCCTCAGTATCTATCCATCTCTCCATGCTCTCTGCTCTTCAAACTCCCTCACCTGTCACTCAATCTCTCCGGGAGTCGAGTCTCGGAGCTGGATCATCACCTCCTTCTCTTCTACGAGTCGTTGTACCCGGCGCCACTCCTCTCTTTCACACCATCCGCACCATATATCTGTTACAGCAAAAGATCTCCTTCCGTCAATACCAATCTTTCCTCCTTCACAACCCCTCCTCGTCCCCGAGTACCATACCGGCATGTCTCCAAGCGGGCCTCGGACACTTCCTCCATACTCATGTCTCTGCTCTCATCTCGCAATCGCGGAATAACGCCTACTCCTACAATCCACATCCACTCTCACATCAACGGTCCAAACACTCCTTCGGCCAAGTATCAGTCCGATGCAAAGGACACTCCCTTCCTCCCACCCGACTCCTCATCCCCTGACCGTCTCTGCACTCTCTCATCTGCGGGATCGGGCAAACGAATATCTCTAGCGTGCAACTCATCCAATACTTACCTCAAACACTCACCGTCCGACCAGAAATCCTCGCTACGGATCCGCGCCAGCACTCTTTGTCCCTCTCCTACATACCAGCGGAAGTTACGACCCTCTCGCGCCGACCCCCAACCGGATCTCTCAGCACCGTTATCTAGCCTATGATCCATTCCCCCCACTCGATCCAGAGCCATTCCCCTTCTCTAGGGGATCGGATCATCGGTCATCATACGTCGATCGAACCGTATAAACCACCACTCTCAATACCGGCCTTCCCGAACAAAACCATCGAGCCCCTCATCTCTCGCCTCTACCACTGCTCCCCTCCTGTAGAAACTTCTTCGTCAGTGGTCCCACGCGTCCCTTCATCAACTTCTTCTCCATCAAAGACGTGACGCTCATCCCCTCATGCCGAATTCGTCCTCCTTCTAATCCGCTGAAAACGGATCCTGAGCAACACGGATATACACTCACACAAATCGAACCGGACGGAATTCGCCGGTCTCATGTAAACTGAAGATACTCAACACATCACGTTCCAGAATTACCCTGGAACTCAATTCCGCCGCATTCTGTCGAGTTCACGTCCACCCCAGGTCTCTGCATTCCCTATCGCTGTCTCAGTCCCTCCCACATACGGTATTCTGAGATTCGTACCTGTAATCTGCAGACACAACTGTCATCCTCAAATCGCCGTCCAGTTGGGTCGTATCCATCGACTCACATCGGCTTCACTCGGGAGGCAGCCTCTTCTCTACGTATCAGCCTAATCGCACCATCCTCTATCAGCTAAGAAGCGAACTCTCTCATCAACTGCCTCCAACGCAATCACAAGACGCTCCTCCGTACCCAGTCTCCAATACACGTAGTCTTCCTCTCTCCCGTCGGCGATCGACCTACACTCAGACCACTTTCATTCCATCACTCACGCCATTCGTCTCCGTACCGAAATATCGACTCGTAAGCTCCTTCGTCGATCCAGCGGGTCCCGAGCAGATCAATCAACCCTCTCCCTCCCCTCTTGCCTCCCGACCCCACACCTCGCGCTCAATCCCTCCCTCTCGTACCGCTCTACCTACACGGGACAGAGGAACACTCCGATGATCCACTCGCTCACACCCCGTCGAATCATGAACCACAGAATTATCACTGACAAGCTGAACAAAAATCTCTTCTTCATATCGTGTTCCCTCCCCCCCAACTCACTCTATCCACTAATCCCCGGTCATCGGTGAACTTCGTAACTTCCGTCAAGTGGTCCAACTAATTCCTCTCGCTACTCATATCTACTCCACCTCAGAAGAATCTCTCGCCCCTTATCATCATTCTCCGGGGGGCATTAGCTCATCTAAAACTACTCGGGTCACCTCTCATCGCTACCGCTCAGAAATCTACAACTCTCACCTCAGATGTCACCATCCAGACCCTCGTCCGCACAGCGACTCATCATCAGACTTTCCCCCCTCTACTCCACAGTTACGTGCAACCTCACTCGCCTCTCGAGACCACCTCGTCCTGCCGCCAAGCCCTCTCCGTCATTATCCCAAAGCTCTTATCACCCCAAAATCTCTCAACCCAGCGCGTCCCCCATCGATTCAACCCACGCCTCGTCTCCAACCTCAGAGCCACCACAGTCTCCTCAAGAACCTTCGCCATTACGACACCGTCCTACATCAGATCCTCAACAGCGACTTCTGCCCTCGACAGCTGCTAACATCTATCTTCCTCTCTACTTCTCTCCCTATACTTACTCTTCGCTCCATAGATAACCTCCATCGGTCTCTTCGTATCCCGAACACCCTCGACCCAGCTATCACACACGTCGTTCGGCTCCTCAACTCTCCTAACACCCAACAGAATATCCCCCACTTGGTATCCCACCTGCTTCCTCGATCAATTCCAATACTCTCAATACTCTCTCATTCAGTGCCGCTAATCTCTCCCGAACAATCTCTCACAAGACCTCGCTCTCTTCTCTCGCCCTTCACTGCACACAACCAATCGTTCATCAACTCAGTGTCTCATGGGGGTCAATGCTGGTAACCAATTCGTCTTCGAAGCATTTCTCAACTACCTTCTCCTCTCTCTCTGTCCCACCTCACCACTCTCTCACCCGTTCGTCAACGTTGTAATCAAGAATCCTTTCGTTCCTCGACCGAGGTTGCCGAAATCCCTCCCAACCTCATCCGCTCCTTAGCTTGCTCAACCCTCCTCATTCTCCGTCCGAAGGTCCCCACTCATTCCGGTCTCCTGTCAACTCACCCTATACTTCCTCCCTCTCCTCGGCGGGCGCGGTCCCGTCCCTCCTCAACCTTCTATACGCCCAGAATCCTACGGCGCATCTCTCTCCGTCAGTCCTTCTCGGATGTCTACTCTCCTCCATCCCCGGGACAGACTTCCCCTCATCTGAATCCACACGTTCTCATGCGATCGAATCTTTCTCGTGATCTCACACCCACAGTCTACTACGGGAGTTCTACATGCCGACAAATACCTGTTCGTTCCCCGTCAATCACACATATCTCCCCTCAAGTCGATATCCAGCCCCTCCCCCTCCTAGTCTCTCTCCGATACAATCGGGTCAGAAGCCTCCTCCACGCAGCCGGAACTCACGTCTCGTCGCAATGTCTCATACTAGTCAACTTCATCCCTCCCACACAATCTCACTGTTTCTATCATCTTCCCCTCCGTTCACGACACCCCCTCAAAAAATTTCTACCCCTCATTTTACCAACCTCGAATTTTTTAATCTTTATCAAACTCCACCTCACACATCAACTCAATCTTCTCCCCTCTCAACCACACTCACATCAACACCAACCAGCCATACTCACACCACCAATCGACATTTCCCCGCCAAAATAGTACTCTTGATGGTCCTGTCCTACACTTCAAAAACCACGCTCTCAAACGTCGAGTCAGTAAAGGATGACTCCATCTCCAGCTCTAACCACGCATCACACCTCTCCACCCGAAATTCCCTCGCCCTTCCAGACCTAACCCCAGCGAGCAGCCACCACCCCTCGTCCCCCCGACCGCCCCCCCCCCGGTCCACCCACCACACCGCCCCCCCCGCACCCTCGAACACCACAATGCCAAGTAATACACATTTCCTAACCTTCCTATTGCATCGACCATGCCTCAGCCCCCCCACCCCCCCCCCCCCCCCCCCTCCCCCCCCCCCCCACGCCCCCCCCCCCCCCCCCCCCCCCCCCACCCCCCGCCCCCCCCCCCCCCCCCCCCCCCCCCCCCATCTCCACCCCCCCCACACGCAACCCCCACTGACCCAACCCCCAACCGACCCCACACCCGACCCACTCATTCCCTGCGGCCGCCCCTCGGCAAGATCATCTTCCCTCCTGACATCCCCGCCCACCCCGCCCACCCCCCCTACCCCCTAGATCGATCGCCCCACCCTCCCCCCCTCCCCACGAGCCCCCCACGCCTCTCCAATGACCCAGACCCGCTCCACTCTTACCCCTCCCCCCCCCCCGCTCCGCCCCACGCCGCCGCCATCCCCCGCTATCATTGAACTGCATCACACACAACCCGCCCCCCTCCGTCCCTCCCTGCCATCCATCTCTCCCTCCTTCACCCCCCCCTCCATGGACCCCCCCCGCCCCCCACCACCCAAAAGCCCCCCCTCCACCCACGGACGTCCCCCTCCCCCCCACCCCGCCCCCTCCGAGCGCCGCCCCCCCCCCAACCCCACCACCCCACCTCAGCAACTACTTCCCTCCTGCCCCTCGGCCCCCCCAACCTACACCCCCGCCATCCCACAACCCCCCCCCCCCCACCCCCGTCTACTACTCGAACCCCACCCCCCCCACCCCTCACACGCCACACCCCTCCCCCGTCGCCCGCCCACCCCGCCCCATCAACCCCTCCTCCTCGGTCCCCTCCCCCGCCTCCCACCCCGTACACACCCCCATCCCCCTCCCCCCCCTACCACATCAACGCCCCCCCTCATCGCATCCCACACCCCACCCCCAGCGTCCCCCCCTACCCCCCCCCCCCCCCCACACACCCCACCCCCGGCCCCTCATAACACCCCACACCGCACGCCAAGCCCCCCCCCCCCGCCACACCCCGCCCCCGCCCACCCACCCACCCAACGGCCCCCCGCCCGCCCCCCCCCCTCACCCTCCCCCTCCAACACCCTCCCGCCCCCCCCCCCCGCCTCCGCCCCCACTCTCCCCCCGCCCTCCCCTGCACCACCCTCCCCCCTCCCCCCCCCCACCCCCTCCCACCACCCACCCCCCCCCCCACCCATGGCCCCCTCCCCCCCTCCCCCCCCCCCACCCCCCGCACCCCGGCCCCTCCCACTCCACCAACCCCCCCCACCCACCCGCCCCCCCCCCCCCCCCCCCCCCTCCTCCGCCCACCCCCTCCCCCAACTCCCCCGCTCCCCTTTCCCACCCCCACCCCCCGCCCCACCCCCTCCCCCCCCACCCACACCCCGCCTCCACCCACCCCCCTCCTCCCTTACTCGCTCCCCACCCCAACACCCCCTCGCCACCCCCCTCCCCACCCCCCCCCCCACCCCCACCCCCCCCCACCGTCACACGACCCCCACCAATCCGCAGCCCACTCAACCCCCCACCCCCCAGCCCCGCCCCGCCACCCGTCTCCCCAACCCTCCACCCCCCGAACCCAACACCCCCTCCACCTTAGCTCCCCCGCCCACCCC